AAGCAAGTTGCTGGCTTTGTCTCCAGATATTATCCGAGATCCTTTGGATCTGGCGCTTGTCCATCTCGGCTTCTATTGCTGAATCACCCAACGCATGACGTCTGGAAGGTCAACTTGAGTGGATGCGGGCTTAATATCGAAACGCCTGCACAACAGCTCTCGACAGCATGGGTGTCGACCCTCTGTCTCCAATTGCGCCTGTGCGCCTTAGGGCACTCCTGCTTCCTATCGGAAGGATCAAGCGCTCGCGCTTTTTGAGTTTCGCTGCCCGACTACAAGCCGAGAATGTAGTTCGATTAGGGGATATCAGCCCCGATGCGCGGCCAAACAGAAGTATGCAACCCAACCGCGAGACGCCAGTGGTAGTACCGTTTAGCTGCAATGTGTACTAATTTGCTCTTGACTAGACATGTTCTCGCCGCTGGCATTTCCGACCGGCATGATCCTCTACGACCTTTCGTTCTCGGTTCCCCCTACGTCGCACCTCGAATTGTTCCCTTTTGAGATTTACAGAGAACCATTAGTGATTATCGCGATAGCAGATGGAACAGAACTGCCACCCAGTACAGGAGGAAACACCCAAACGCACCCAACTCCAGAGGGACTCGATCAGCTGTTGGAGGAGCTCGATGGAATGAAGGAGAGAAACCCTCGGGCATTGGTGAACCAACTCTTGGTATTCGATCATGAAGGCATGGACAAGGTCACAAACGGACCCGATAATGTTCTCTGGGTTCCGCCGCCTCAGGCCTCCAAAGCCACCACGATGAAGACTGTCCTGTGCGATATCACCTCGGTCTTGCTCTCTGAATTGGACGAATTTGCAAAGACTATCCAGAGTATACCGACAATTGACTCGCCTAAGGCATCTTCTTGGGGCCCGCACCGGAACCCGGAGCTACGACCACGCCCAGTGGACCGACTACTAAATACCTGGAGGATGACTATGCCTGCGCAGCTTCCATCTAATCCCAATGGGGCACCGGATACCCCACTGAGCTCCAATGCCAGCTCCCCAGCTCCTAGCGATCATGAGACTCCTACAACATTTGACGAGATCACGCGATCAATTCACCTATCCAGCCGCACAAACTCAGGCAGCAGGACTCCATCAGTAGCGTCCCCAAAGGAGCATAGCCGTGACCGTATGTCTGTCAGTGGGTTGAGTGCCACTGACAGGACTAAGAACCGAATCAAAGGCCGGGCCGGAGTAGTTATTGGAACTCTTTTCCTGCAGGCAGGAAGGTGGCCAGATGCTCTGAAGGAACTGACAGAAGCCGTGAACAATGCCCGAGCCGGCAGTGACTATATCTGGCATGCCAAAGCGCTTGAATCGATTCTGCTTTGTCTGCTGTTGTTTGGTTGGGCGGGCATGGACTTCCAGGTATGCGCATACCCAAAACCAAGTAAACCTTGTCGCGGAAAGCTTACATGTCTACTAGATTCCATCGGCTCTGTATCCGGTTGCCGACAAGTCTTCTAAATCTTCCCGGGACTCAGCTACGCCCAGTAGTGCTGGAAACCGGGTCATCTCTCTGCAGAATCTTGCCAACCTCCTGCCAGATCTCGCGCACAACATCTTAAATCTCTACGACCGCGCTGCCAATATCACGGATGAGCCTTTGCCACAACTGGTGTTCTCTGAGACGGTCATTCGATTATCGCGGTTGTTGGTGTCAGCTCGCGTTCGCGACGGTGCTTTAGATGACAATGCCTTGAAACACATTGTGATGAACGAGCCTTTGATTCCACTGTTCCACTCAGAACTTCCTAGAGGAACTGTTCTTCTCCGAAAGTCTGAAATTGCGAACTTCCTATACCGGGCGTTGCCACTTTCCGCCGGCGCGGATTTGCCCGCGACTGACGCGGTGCCCATCATAGTTGGTGTCGTATCCGTGCTTAATACCCTTGATCTACCAAGAAAGAAGGCCTTCATTTTGCGGGAACTTCTTTCCGTCATGGTACCAAGCTTGGTTCAAGCACGCAAGATCGGTGCTGCAGAGGTAGGAATTCATCCCGCTGCTGGACTGGCCTCTCTCAGCGATGCCGCTTTTGATGTCAATGCCCTCGATACAGGCTCTGGGAATATGGAAACAAGTGTGCGTCTTCTCCTTGCCACAATTGGAGAGATATACGGTGTTCAGCCCTCGTCGTTACATGAATGGGAGAAGAGATCCAGTCAATCATCCGCTGTCAGCGGACTGCAAGAAGGCTCTGAATATGATTCAGTCTCCAGTATTGCTGAAAGAGCATTCCGACATATCGTGTTAGATCGGTACGGTGATCTGAACTTGAAGATCGATGTTCTTAAGGCTTGTATCAACTGCTGCGAAGCTCTTCCAGATTTCAATGGCGTTCTTCGCTTCACGGTCGAGCTTTTGCAAACCATCCGAGGAGATATGATGCTAGGGGATGCATACAAAGCCCAGCCGTATCTAGCCCAAGACGAACAAATCCGTCTTCTCAACAATATCAAGCGTACTGTGGGCGCTGGTACCAGACTAGGTGCCGCTGATATGGTTGCGGAATACTGGGATGACTTCTTGGTCCGTGATGTTCAATTGTTGGCACTTCCAGATCCCAAACGCCCCGTGCGCCGGAACAAGACGGAACTAGATGCTGTTACTGCAGGCACTGAGAAGTCGAAAAAGGACCCATTCCTGTACAACCCCTTTGCCAAGGTCAGTAGTAAAGCATTGGAATTGCTCACTGTCACCGATGAGTCTGCCTCATTCCGAGTGACACTACAAAATCCGTATGAATTCGAGATTGAGATTGAGCACTTGCGCTTAGAGAGTAGCGGTGTGTCGTTCGATGCTATCGCAGAAAACATCGTCCTTGCCCCTCTGTCTCTTCAGGATGTCACTGTGGTGGGCGTCGCTCACGAGCCAGGTAGCCTTAACATCACCGGCTGTATCGTGAAAGTGCGACACTGTCGTATGCGGAAGTTCCCCATCTTCAAGAAATTCTGGAGGCCGGAACCTGAGGTTAAGTTCAAGCGAACAGGGTTAGGGGCAAAGAAGCCATTGACAGAACGCCCGCTTTCCTGGAGCTCGACAACATCAAAGGATGGCAAGGTGGACATCAAAAAGGGTCCCGAAGCGACAATATGTGAGGTCAAAGTGATCGGCAAGCAGCCATCCCTTGTCATTGAATCTATGTCTTTATCACAGTCGGCCTTGATGGTGCTGGAAGGTGAAGTCAAGTCATTCACTATCACACTCCAGAACGCATCTTCGTGCCCTGTGGACTTTGTTCTGTTCACCTTCCAAGATTCAACCACAAGGCAGCTACAGTCCGCTCTCAGCAACAAGGATCTATTGCCCGTTGAGATTTACGAGCTCGAGTTGAAATTAGCAAACAAGCCTGCCCTGCGATGGCGCCGTGAAGGTCCAGACCCCAACGATTGTTCGATTGGAGCTGGCAAGAAGGCAACCTTTACCGTCGATGTTCTAGGCAAGCCTGGTTTGCAGGATACAACCGTGCAAATTGACTACTCCTGCGTTGGCGCAGCTCCTGGTGAATTGCCTGATACATTCTATACCCGGCAACTATTTGTTCCATTGACAGTCACGGTTAATGCAAGCGTGGAGGTCGCCCGGTGTGACGTCTTACCATTCAGTGGTGACTTTGCCTGGAAAAACCACATTGAACCACCTGTTGACTCGAAGAAGCCGGATGCGTTGCTCTCCACCACTGATCATGATCCATTCTCTCAGGTCCTGACCCGTCTTGGCAACGGGGCCTATGGACCTGATCACTGTGTTGTGCTGCTTGACCTGCGTAACGCATGGCCAAGTCCCCTGTCGGTGTGGCTGCGCGTTAGCGAGCACTCCATAAGCGTCTCGTCGGAGGCCACTGAAGATGATCCCACCGGGAAGTACTCCGTGGGTGGAGAACTGCAACCCGGTCAAGTCTGTCGATTCGTCCTCGTCCTGCCTCGCGTCTACCTCGATAACCCTCATGCTTCTATTCCCGTCGTCAACACCGGAACCCGGAGACAGTTCGTTGTGAGCGCCAACAAGCTCTCCTTCGAAGCTGAGGCCGCCTCACGTGAAGCTTTCTGGTTCCGCGAGGAGCTCCTGAAGAGAGTTCTCGGAGGCTGGAAGGAACCCGCTACAGGACGCGAGGGAAGCATTGACCTCCGAAATGTCCGATTGAACAACCGCATGGTCGAAGCCATGCGTCTCGAGGACATTGAAATGACCTTCTCCTTGATCTCCCCATCTTCATCCGAGACCACCCCAGGAGTAGAACAAACTGGCCGCTCTCGCTTCCGCGTGAAGACAGACGATCTCCTTACCCTCACCGTCACCGTCCGCAATCGCTCTTCTCGCGCCATCCACCCCCTCCTCCGTCTCCAGCCCAGTCTCCGCCATCAACCAAACAATGTTGCTCTAGACCTCACCCGCCGCCTAGTCTGGACTGGCATGCTGCAGCAAGCCCTCCCCATCTTACAAAGCGGCGAGTCCACCACCGCCTCCGTCGGTGTGACCGTTCTCTGTCGCGGAGAGTACGAGTTCGGTGCTAGCGTCGAAGAAGCCCGGCTCCTGCGTCCATCGTTTGCCGACGATGATGCTCACGCAGGCGATCCTGCTCACGGCGATGATTATGATGGCATCAAGGATACCTTCGGCGCAGATGTTGTGCGTCGCCGCCGCATCTGGCATGCAAAGGAGCTCTGTATCATTCATGCGAATGACTAATTTCTGTCTTTTGACTGGTCTGGTCATATTATGTGAGAATGAGCATAGACATGATTTAGACTCTCGTCTAATTTCTCTTTTTTGTGTTTGTGTTTTGCATTCTCCTTTCAGCCTCTTTCGATGATTATCATGCCCAGGTGTAGCATACCCCCGCCCCTCCCCTCTTGTATAAAGCTCTCCCTCTATCCTTGCATTGTTTAAGACATGCATGCTCTCATGAATAAAACATGTTTCAATGTCTATCAAAGTCCAGAGTGGATTTCTTGGATAACTACTCAGTCTACATATCTACCTCTATGGGCCTAATAAATGCTGCGCTATGACAAGCCGAAATATATCCTATGTACTATAAAGTACGACAAACCACGTCCCAACAAAAGGAGAAATAATCAAACAGCAACCTCCCTCCCCGTTAATATATGAGTCCGATTCTTCTCAGTCTCCCCCCTCAAGACCCCAAACTTAGCCCTAATCCACTCCTCGCTAGTCAGAACACCCCCATCCAGACCCGGCAGTCCATCAGTCAACGAAACCATAGGCGCAAGATTCTCCGGTCGCATAAGGAAAGCAAAACTATACCGCTCGTCCATCCCCATCCCAGGAAGCGAGGCCACACGATGCAAGACACTACGATAACGTCCCCCAGACCACAAACTCATCGCATCACCAAGATTGATAACTGCATGGTTCTCCTTAGGCTCGATATACAGCCAGTCATCACATCCATCGGGCTTGATCTGGAGTCCTGGGGAATCGGCAAATAGCATTGTCAGTGAGCCCAGGTCTGTATGTGGAGTCTGGGGGACGCGGAATTCCTGATCGCCTTTGGATGATGCGGCGTATTTTAGGAGTCGGAGGATATCTGGGGCTGGGGCGTCTGGGCGGTGGAATTTTTCCATGGAATGGGAGGTGGGGAGGTTGAGTTGGGTTGATAGGGCTTCGAAGATGTTTTGGGATATGCCGATGCAGGTTAGGAGGAAGTTTTGGAGGAGGTGGATGTGGTTGTCCAGGAGTGGGGGGTGGATGAAGGGGTTAAACCCGAGGATTCCGTTGCGTGGGATCTATATCGTATCAGTTCTGATATGTTTTCATGGGATTGGGGGAGATTGAAGGTATTACACACCGCGTAGCTCTCGAATCCATCCCGTTGGCCTTTGATACCCCCAATGTTGCGGCTGATGGGCTTGTAGCTGTAGAAAGTTAGCTGGGCAGGACAGGAAACAGTCAATCTGCAATCTGATACACACCCATTCAGCTTGAGTTTGCTGATCTGATCAACATCATACTGCATCTTCTCATCCAGGTCGAGGTCGAACAAGGACTGGCTAAGGCTGTAGATGTTCTGGATTAGATCTGATATCCGATGCTCGCCCAGATCCTCGGTAAAATCCAGATAGAATATGCCATCATCTTGGGCAGCCGCAAAGAGCTTTTCTTTTTCCCCGACTGATCCTCTGCGAAGATCCTCTAAGTGGATGGTTTTCAAGTTAGCAAGTGGCAGCGATTTCTCGCTGGACATCATTTTGAAATTTCGGTGTGGAATCAGTAGAAATCTATAATATAATAGATAACTGATGAAATCTATATATCGGGGCAGCTCTGTATTCTTATATCCCTACAACTTAGTCCACAACCACTATCAATCAATTAGATGTATCTCATGCAGTAAGGATGCATTCCTTTTTCGAAGTAGAAAACAGGCAGCAAGAAAAGAGATAGAACAGGAATGCAACTTATATGCATATGAGACGCAGTATCTCTTGGCTCTATAGGATACGGGTTTCTTTTTCAAGACACGCGTCTGAAGAACACCCATAACTATATCAAGAATATACATGTTTACATATGGTTAAAAACAGGTAGATCTCTGATTTTGGGAATGGCTTTCCTTGAAATGTAAATTTTACAGTATCCATGTGGCGTGTATACGTATTTCATGAGCATCCTCAGGGGGATAAAAAAAGAAAATAAATATTGGCTTTGTGTATCGTCAATAATCGATGGGCGTGCAGGACAAATCATAATTGAATTGAGCATCTAGTCTATGTAGTTGATCTAATTGGCCTCGTGTTTTTCGTGTAACTTAGGAAACTTAACAGTGGTCTATACTGTACATATCTGTAGACAGACGACACGATCTACGGCCCAGCTACAGTAGCGTCTTTGCGCTGCTATGCAAAAGAGGAAGAAAATTAATTCTTGATAGATATTATTGCGCTACATGCAATAAATCCCTGTCTTGCGTCTCTGGCTTCGACAATTGCATTTCCATTGGGTCAGGTATCTGAATCTTGTGCCTGATTTCTATACATTTTTAACAGATGAGTTCACCGCGGCTTGACTCGTCTTGCAAATGCAATCTAGGCCAGGTATCATGTGTGTGGCTGGTCATGAAATAAGGCAAATATAACTACCGAGCATGAGACGCAAGGGGGATTAATATCACATGAGTTTGATTTGCTCAATTTACACTGCCGTACTGCAGATATATGATAAATAAGCACCTGCGGTACGAACTAAATGTAGCTCTTGAAAACCAGATTCTTACCGAGAGGGTCTCCCTCGGTGTCTTATCAACAGTTTGGCTGGTAGTCTATTTTATCTTCTGCGCCTCGGTCCTCTGGTATGTCATTCAGGCCTGAAGTCGAGTAATGGCTTTCACCAGATCAGCTTATCTTTTGTTATTGGAATTTTTAATCTCTTGTCTTCATTTAAGGCAACATCTATCCTTGTTTTGGCATGATTTAAACCTCAGTATGAACTGCATCTTCGCGTCTACCTAGCAGGAGTTATTATATATCGAGATCAAACAATTATTCATAATACATTCAGATACTTCTCTTCACTCGTCGTACAATTACATTCATCTACCAGGGCTAGAGTGGCTACACCCAAGTCAAGTTCGCAAGCAGATGGCCTTGTTCTTGAAACTCTTTGTTGACACATGTTCACCTTTGTTATACTCCAAATCTTCGCCAAAAGCAAATAGAAACAAAGAATCTCAACAGTATCTTTGATAGCCTCTATTGTTCTCGTTCAGGTACATTTGGTCTTTATTTTAATTGATCACCACTGACTCGGCGCTAACAGACAAGTATATAACTACCTTCAACCCCACCACTTTCTCAAGAACCCATCAGTATAAACCAGCTCATCTTTACAAATCATTTATGCAAGGTAAGCTCCTATACCCTCCATTCAACTCACCACTCCTCAAATCACAAGTAGTATACTACTCATCCCAAATGACAACCCCAACCCATCTCCCCAGTCTAATCCGCAGAGACGCAACAGACGCCGAACTAGCCTATCTCACGCTCCGCAGAGACTTTTTAGATTCCCTACATGACCAACATAGAGCTCTGCGTAACCGTAAGGAGATGACCGAAGAGCGACGTTCCGAGATTCTAGAAACGCACGCTTCGTAATCTCGCTTCACAGACGGAAGATATCAAAATTGCTGGACTTCGTATGAAAGATGAGCAGCCTTTGTGTCGTGCTGTCTGTGAGAACCGTATTGGATACTTTAATGGTGGGTTGAGTTCTGCCTTTGCGTGGGATTGTAAGAAGAATCGGGGTGAGATAGTTCGACTTATTAATGCTGTTGCTTGGGAGGGAAACACTGATGTGCTTTCTGATAAGGTTGATGGGCAGTTGGTTTGGAGATAACTATTTTATTTGCTTGTCTTTTTTTTGAGATTTTGTGATGTGATGGGCGTCGGACCCTAGAAACTGTTGTTCGATATTGATATTTCTATCTAGGGCTGCTTGCGGCTATAATCTCACCAGATCTATGTTATATTGCAAGTGTTACGGTTTGTTACTCCAGAACAGACTAGCCTCTGGTCATAACAGGTGTTTTGAAAACGAGGATTGCTCATAGGGGTGCCTGATAGTATGTAGCAAAGATCCAGATGTTAGTACGCAAGATTTGCAATTTGATATTATATTCAATATTCGGTATTGCAACATAGTACATATTAACGTTGAAGAGATGTAGATATAGTTAAAAAAAATGGATGAATAAAGTGAAGTGGGGGGAAAAAAAAAAGAATCGTCAGCTAGAGGATTCGAACCTCTGCCCGCGAACGGAATTGATTTCTAGCTGTGGTAATTGTTAGTAAGAATTCTTGAGATGTGTTGCGGGAGATAAACGTACTCAATCGCCTTAACCACTCGGCCAAACTGACTTCATGAAGATTTAATTGTCTAATTTGACAATATGAGGTGCCTTAAGTCTCACGGGTTATACTACTCAAAAATTAGGATGGTGGTTGATATCCGTCGTAAATTTTGGAGCAGAGTCGCCAAATATTGAGTCCCACTTTCATTTGCTACGCTAGAGATCTATAAAAATTCAACTGTTGTATTCAATAATTGGTTGTTGGGGTGACATACTGCGCTAGATATGGTATATATTGTCATGCAGGGCACCTGGGATATATTATTACCGACATTCATACACACTATGCTATAATTGCGCTATTGGCACCAAATATTATATATTTGTACCGGCAGCTGTAATTACGAGACATAGGAATTGGATATGTAAATAAATGGTAAATGAATGAAATGATTTTAAGTCTACTCCTATGGATATAGGATGGGGTGATGTAAGCTATTGTCACTGAAGGCGTTGCTACACAGCCCCTCGCTCAGTCTGTTGCATCCCAGCTACCATCCCAGAGTAACTATTCGTCGTTACCGCTATTGTCAAATTGTGACAGTTTGTTCACGTTTTGATACCGTTATCGGCTGATTGTCTCTATTCTCGGAACGAGGATGCCCTTTTCCCATCATAGCCATTCAGGCCAATTCTGCCCAGGCCATGCCAAGAATTCGTTGGAAGAAGTCATCCAGGCGGCGATTGCAAAGAAAATGAGAGTATTCTGCCTTTCTGAGCATATGGTCCGCTGTCGACAAGACTTCTATCCAGAGGAGATCGTTGCCGGGGGCACAGAAGCTGCCTTGATCGAGAATGAAGCCCGCTATTTCGCCGAGGCGCTGCGGCTGCGCGACCAGTACGCTCAGCAAATTGAGATCCTGATTGGGCTGGAAATCGACTGGATCCGACCAGAATCTTTCATGCTTATTGAACGGTCACTCAGCCGATTCCCGTTCGAGTTCTTCGTCGGGTCTGTACACCACATGCATGAAATCCCCATCGACTATGACCGCGAGATGTATGTACAAGCCCGGGAGGTGGCCGGTGGAACGGATGAACGCCTTTTTGCTGATTACTTTGACGCTCAACTTGACATGCTGCGCAAGCTGAAACCGCCGGTCGTCGGCCATTTCGATTTGATCCGATTGAAGAGCGACGACCCGGACCAAAGCTTTACACAGTGGTCGGGCGTGTGGGAAAAGATTCTACGGAATCTAGACTTCATAGTCAACTATGGAGGTCTAGTAGAGCTGAACTCCGCGGCTCTGCGAAAGGGCATGGCTGAACCATACCCCAAAGCCGAAATTTGCAAGGCGTTTCTCGTCCGAGGGGGCCACTTCTGTCTATCTGACGACAGTCACGGCGTCGATCAGGTCGGACTTAACTTTCATCGCATCCTGCCGTTCATCGATGCCGTAGGAATATCGTCCCTTCATTTCTTACGGTTGGCTTCAAACGACGAAGGGGGATCTCCACGTCCAATTGACACTCGATTTCTTCGGACACGAGTCTGCTCTGTCCCAGTAGATGAGATTAGGACGATGTCTTGCTTCAGCGAGTAGTATGTTTAAAGTTGTGCCATTTCAACACGGCAAGGAGTGGCCAAAGCCAGTGAGACTCAAGAGGCCTATTCAGACTGTCCAGCACACGTGTTACCCATTTGTTGTGAGAAACCGGCCGCAGGTAGTACCCTAGGTGATGAAAAGAATACCACAATAACAGCTCGGCTAGACTGTATTGATGAAGATTAAACAATCTATATGTACTTTGCAGTTACGAGGTAGGTGCCTTTGATGTCACGGTCTACCCCTTCAGTAAAATCTAAATAGAAGCTGAAATCGAAATCCACTACAATAAGATATGAGTAGAACTAATCGCCGAAAATTAAATTCTTTTGTTCAGTTTGTTACTCCATAGGTCTAGAAAATCCACTGTTATATGCAATAATTTGGTTGTTAGGGAGACATACCACGCTATATACATTCACGCAGGGCAACTAAATATATTAGTACCAACAACTAAATCTAGTAGTAGTAGTAGTAGTAGTAGTAGTAGTAGTATGTTATACATACTTGCGCTATTGGTATCAAAGATTCTATTATTGTATCTACAATAAGTAATCATCTACCTGAAGCGGAAATATACACGACCGGGAAATGCACAAAAGAACATAGAAGATGCTTAGGGATTGGAGATTCGTTGAGTGCTTCTAGATGCAAAGAAACCATTTATTTCGTGTGCCAAGATAAAGCTTTTTTTACCATGGCTCAGTTTGACGCATTAAAAGATATAAACGAAACGCCACTAAACCAAACATAGCCTCCGTCAGAATAATGAAAAAGTACACCTATTTCTATGTCAACCCAGCCCCGATAGAGGAGGGCTCAACCATGTCGATTCACCCTAGGTGGATTTTCCCGAGAAAGAGACAAGTGCATGATATGACTCGGTCAAAGGCCACAGACTCTGAGCAAAGGCTAAGGCGCCTGCCACCAGAAGCACATAATAAGCGACCGTCCACCCAATACCGAGAGTCCCATCTCCAACCTCAGCCGAGCTGCCCTCAGAGTCTTCTTTGCCACGAGTGATGGGCGGCCCCATAGGTTCTCCGGCCTCAACGCGACCCCAGAACCGAGGCAGACCACACCAGTTGCAGAAGCTGTGGATGGCAATGACGGCCAACAAGGAGCCGGTTCGCAGATAGACAAAAGTAGCGTACCAGCCAAAGATGGTAGTATACCCAAATTGGAAGAGCGAGCGCGCCAATGCCGCCAGAGCTGGTGTGTCTGGGTGCGTCAGGCGGAACTCGTAGAAGTGGTGGATATGCGCGATGCCGAAATACAATGGCGCGATGAAGACAATGCGGCCTGGCGATACATGTGCTAGAAGATGCAAGGGGACAATTGCCGAGCGGAACATGACCTCTTCGGTAATAGGGCCCTGCAAAGATATTTAGAACGATAGCTAGTGTCTCAAGAGGGAATATCACTTACCGCGACATAATTTCTCCACCCGATCCAGCCACCCAGGCTCTCAGAGAGCTTGCTGTGGCGGAACCAGAATTTCCATTCACCCTCGACGATTCCTCGCTCGAAGAGCGGGCCCGTGAAGAGAATTGCGGTTAGGAGCAGACCGCGGAAGATCTCCAACACGCCGACGGGCCACCAGCCGAGTAGTCTCAACCCCGCAGCGACCGACGTGTTCCCCTCTTCAACGGCCAGCCAGAGGACGACTACTGAGCTGAAAATGCATGAACCTGTAACGGCGCGAATGCGGGCCCGAATGACGGAGGGCGCATCGCGACTAAGGCTTGGCGATGGTCTGGTTGTTGGAGAGAGATAGAATGGGACCACGTAGAGTAATGTGAGTAGGACCTGAGTTTGTTAGCTATCCAAATTGCAGTCGTTTCATTACCTCTTTTTTTCTTTCTGTTTGGGGTGCTTCTTAGATGTCTCTACATACAGAGAAAAAAGCGACCGTCCTGCCTGACAGCGCTGGGTCATCTGGACAGTGTTAGTTGGTACTTAAAGGAGTAATAGTACTACATACCCTGTTGTTTTGTGTACAGACTCTTGATGCGAGCCAACAAGCCGACAGGAGCCATGATGAGATCTATGTTGGGGAAGTATCGAGAGCCTCGGAAAGAACAAGATGGCCCAGACGTTGCTTTGTTGTTATTACAATACGCAGGAGGCCAGGTACCGCACAGGGATTGGCTGAGAAAGGTAGAATACAGTATGGTATTGTCAGAATGAGCCATGGACCATTGAATGTTTATCTTAATATTGCCGACTACATCTATAACTACAACTACAAGTACACGACAGGTGTAAGTTACAGGAACAAAAAATAAGTAGCAGATGACTATATATATCCCATCCCAACGGCTCCAGGCTACCGAACTGCTGGACCGAGCGTCAAATGTGATCTCTCTCATCTGTCACCCCTTGAGTCCATCTTCATTTTAAACTGAGTCAATGTGAGGGGCTCGTGGACGATAATTCTCCGATTCACGAGAGACGAGGGAAGCAGCAAGCGGGAGGACAATAATTGAGGGACCATCATATTATTGCCTGTCAAGGGCGTTGGCAGCGAGGGCATGTCAGACACACAGCCGCTAGCCAAACTCATCTTAGTCGAGACAACACACAAGTCTCCACTCAAAGACTGGTTTATGAGCACCGAAAATCACAGTGCATACAGGTGCAGGTGTACCTGCTGATCCTGGCTGGTACACCCTCGGATGGTAAGTCGTAGCACATACTAGGGCTGCAAGTCCAATGTACTATAGAATCATACTGTAGTGCGTAGCCTGTGCAGGTTTTCACCAACGCGTCTCGACCTATCGAGTCAAGTCTCCAACTGTCAACGGGTGTTCCTAAGCCACCCCGGAGGAGTCGAGAACTGGAGCCAATGCAGGCTGCATCACCCCTTGGGGTCTAGATTGGGTGGTGATAGGCGCCCGGTTCATCGTTCACCGCTGGGCAACAAAATTCCTCACCCCCTTCCTTCCAGTGTCTCACGTCTGTGTTTTCGTTACTTCCTGTCGTGTGCTTTTTGTTGAAACGCTTTAATGATTGTTTTCGCCCTGTCGCTCTTTTTAATGGCTTTCGATGTCTGAAACGAACTAATCCCGACCCTGACGACTTTCGCACGTCCCACGCTCTTTTTTGATGAATTTCGGCCCATAGACCCTAGATCTCGACACCTGGGTATACATTCCTTACATCGAACCATTCATTTCCAATCTAGGAAAACAACAACAACCCCGTCATTCTTTTGATTTTGTTTATTGCCTGTTTAGCAAGTCCTTCTTTGTCTTCTGACTTCCTTCCGATCAATGCCGTAAGTTCGTGACTTCGACCATGTCTTATCCCCGGACCTCGCGCGTGCGGAGGGCATTGCAAGAGCGCAGTTCAGCTCACACGAATGAAAGATCACCAAACCGGTCGTTGCGCATGGTGTCGGACCAGGAAGATGTCGATATGTATAGCGCGACGCCTTTCCCGACCAAGCCGGAGCAGATCCTGCTGCCCATACCCGGCAAAGGACAGCAAGACTACATCTCAGACACCGGTTTTAGCTATTCAGATCACCACCTAGGACCGTCCACATCTACGTACTCCTCACCGTCCTTCAGTCAAAGCACCAACAGCCCGCGAGATCACTCCATTGGAGAGAGTTGGGATGTCTCATCGACTGTTAATACTGGCCAATCGCCGCCAGAGCTGTGGGATGAAGATCCAACTTCTAGCAAGTCGTCATTGCCAGACATTTCGTCTGGTAAAGCGCCCGACTATGGGTCCGACAGTTCGGAGCCGGAGTACTCTGACGACGAGATGATTGTGCTGCCGACAGCCACGCCAACTATCAAGGCAGTACTTTCAGAGCCGCCCACCTCGCCAAAGTCTTCTCAAGGCTCCGGGGAGTCGATTGGCTACTCCAGCCCAAACCTCGAGCAAATTGGTGCTCCGTCAAGTCCCAATTTTGTGATGCTGGACAACTCGAGTATGAACTTCCACCGTCCTGCCACTGCATCCTCAGAGTCAGACCCCAGAACCAACTCGCTGTCTTCGTACAACTCACGGGGTACCGTGGTGAGACACGCCGGCGCCGCTCCCTGGATCAACACAGCCTCATCTGAGCAATTGAGCTACCGCTCTCCATCATTTAGGTCCAGTCCACCTTGGCAATCCGTGGCGTCCTTCCGCACAACATCGCGTGCACCATCAGGCAGCCGCTCGCGTTCTGCGACCTCTTCCTCGCGCAGCCTACGCTCAGCATCTGATCTGCAAGCAGCCATTGACAGCGGCGTCCCAATTCAATACCCGCGTATCCGCGCGCCGTCGTCGTCAAGCTCCCGCGCCGGAACTTCAGTCACTCCAGAGCGCGACTTCACGCCAGGCCCAGCCTCCGGCCGTTGGAACCCTCACCTGTCAACCGTCTCTTCAATCTGGTCTGCAGAGGAAGTGACCAACCTCTCCGCGCAAGCGGAAATCCCCTCAGAACCCGAGATGGCCGAGCTATCACCACCCCCACCAGCAGCGCTGAAGAGCGAGAATACACGTTCTTCCGTATGGCTCGTGGAGTCCTCAAACGACAGCGACGAAGAGCGCCTAGACAGCCTGACAAACCTCCCAGTCCGGCCAATCTTCTCCCAAAGCCTGTCCTCCGGCTCAAAGCGAAGCAACAGTAACCGCAGTTCGAATCGCCCAGGCACGGGTACCAGCACCATCCTCAACATCCTCCCCACCTGGGCAAAGGTCTACTACCTCCGCGAACCAATGGGCCTGAACTCAACCCTGTCAATGATCGACGCCAGCCGGCCATCCTCTGTCCGCCCCGGAACATCCAACTCAAGCGCCTTCAACTTTAATCTTATGCCCACACCACTCAACATCCCCAGACCACGTTCCCCAGAAAGAGAAAGACCTCGCTCCCCAGAGCGCGCGCATGTTCCAATCCCCCAGCGCCGCATCGAAAGCGACCCCCGCGATCCGCGCGCTCACTGGGTCCCATCTCCAGAACCAGAGGATGGTGAGTTCGTCAACCAGCGCTACAGGTTGCGCCATAGCTGGTCACCACATCTATACCCAGACCGAAGGGTCCTGCAGCATTCAACTAGTGCATGGAAAGCCCCCTCTCTGGACTCGCGCAATGAACCTGTCTTTGGACGGAGGAATATCCAGGTCTACTCTTTCTGTCTGGGCTTCCTGTTCCCTCTGGCTTGGTGTATTGCTGCTGTTCTGCCACTGCCGCCAAAACCTAAGATGTCGCCTGAGATGATGGTGAATGAATCCGACTCGGATGTTGAGGCGGCGCTCGAGGCGCAGTGTATGAATTTGCAGCAGCGGAGCCATGATAATGCCCGCTGGTGGAGGAATCTCAATCGGTGGATGATATCGCTGGGTGTGGTGATTACTGTTGTTATTGTGAGTTTGCCATCTGGTTTTGGTGTGTTGGATTGTTTTTTTTCTAATTATCTTGCAGATCACTCTCGCTGTTATTGGCTCTACTACGGGCTTCTAAGCCCTATACGACAGTATCAGCCAACCATGCTCTCTCCTTGCTTCCAGTGTGGTTGTGCTCGACTCGCCATACTTCATTTAATGCTCTCACGACTTGGACTTGCTTTGCCTATGGCTTTACAAAACCCTTCATTCTGACGTTTTCTCTTTTTTTTTTTGGTGATTTCTTCACTCACTTTTGACTCGGGCTTGTAGCCTCTACCAACACTCCCGTTTGGCTGGTTTCTTTTCTTCATTCCCTGTCCTGTTTGATCTTATTTATCGTTCCTCGATTCACTGATACTACAGACATCCCCTTTCTTTTCTCTTCTGACTGTGATCCCTCGCCTCGATCTATCACTATCCCCTTCTTCTATTTTTACAGCTCTCCTTTTTTGCTTTTCAATTCACTGCACACAGTTCGACATGACCACGACACGATTCAACGCACATAATATCCCCCATCTTGGTTCTACAGTTCCGCATATTTTACATTTCTGGGATTCTATTCTATGCATGGCGCCTTACAGGCTTTGTTTGCAGCCACTATATGACGTCCATGTATTGGACATATGTTTACTCTTTGTTGTTATTCTTGATCTTACTGAATCGTCGTTTGATTTGATTTGATATTGGCTCGGTGCATATTTTTACTCTTCAGTGACCACCTGTGTTATATCATCATTTTCGAGGTTTCATACTTTGATTCAATCAATTATTTTCATATTTTATAAGCCTTACTTTAGAATTATTCATCACGTTCTTTTTTTTTTCGTAAAAGCTATTCCATCTATTACAGCTTATGAACATCTGTATTGCCGAAAGACGAGATCGACTCGATTCGAGCCATCACCATCGCTATTAAAGCTAGAGATAAAGACACAACAAAGAAATTTTGACGCTCCAACGCTCCAACGCACTTATTTGCACCAAACGACACCAAAGTCACGTCCACTTCCTCAAAAACACCTTAATTCGACTCTCCATCTATCCAATTATCCATCTACCCCATAATACCAACAATCTCTCCCTAGCTGAGACTTCGAATTCTATAGCTTCCGCCCAATCTTCTCCTCAACAGCAGCCTTCAGCTCCTCCCCGGTAGGCATGGTAACAACACTACCGCGTCTCCCCCGAGCCTCAATCTCAGCCTTGATCTCCTGGACCGCCTCATCGAAGTCGCGCTCAGGATCATTAGGCAAGCCCAGTACAGGAGGACGCACGGATTCAGTGCTGACGGTTCGTCCGACATTGGGGCGCGTGCGACGCTTCAGTGTTGAAACGAGGTAGCCCTTCAACGGGGAGAAGGAAGCAAATGCCACTAGGGAGAAGATTGTGCCGGCGATACCGTAGAAGTAGACTCGCGACCAGACAGTTACTGAGTCATCGAAGCTCAGGAGGATGAAGGGGAGGACGGCGAAGGAGAGGGTTAGTTGGGTGGCGAGCCAGCTGAGGATGTCGTAATAGCGCTTGTTTGGCGTTGGGGCAGAGCCGTCTGGGGTAAGGAAGAAGGGCCGGACGTAGCGGCGGAAGTCTATAAACGTTAGTTACGTGGAGATTCGGAGATGGGCTTTGGGAGTCGTACTCTTCGCCACGGTTTGGATGAATGATCCCAGGACAAATGTCATGTAATATCCTGGATAGAAACCGTGCCAGAGGGCACTGGTGGCAAAGGTTGCCAAGCTGGCGCGGAATCCGGGCTTCTTGCCCTTGGGGGTAACTCGCAGGTATACGTAGTTACGCAACCAGTGGTTGGTGTTCTTGTTCCAGTTGCCTAGGTAGGCGTGCGAGTTTTGCGCCGTCTCCAGACCCCAGGGATTAACGTTCTCCAGTCGGTTCCAGAAGACTTTGCCCGTGGTCTGGTCAAAGCCGTTGTATCCCATGCCGGACAGAATACAGGCACCCTCGGTCAGAGACCAGACGCCGTAGTACTTCAGACGCGCGGTGAAGCCAACCATGTGTACGGTAAACACACGACGCAGGAAAGAGTACTGCAGGAATGCATCTGAAAGCACAAAGTCGGTGGTAAAGTAGGCGCCTAGCTGGATGAAGGCAAGAATCCATGCCAATCCAATCGCCAGTTTCTTGACAGCAGGGGTTCCACTGCGAGGGATCTTGCGCTTCTTCCGGGTAGGTGGCACCTTGGACGGATCAGTTCCTGGCGGGACTTCAAAGAGTGTGGTATCGAGCCAGCGGCGGTAGGCCACATATTCGAAAGAGGGGCCGGCGAAAAGCGAGGGGAAGAACATCACATAGCCCAGGTAATCCAAGATGCCAGGGAACTTGGTGATGGCAGAGTACTTCTGCGGATCCGACAGCTGAGCCTGGGGAAGACGGCCGTCGTGAATATTCCAGCAGAACGAGGTGAGCTTCATGACAAGAACCATCTGCGCTCCGGTAATATCAACTGAGTGTGCTTCATCAACCATCTGACGGTAGATGTGGTTAAGCGACATATGGCCCATGAGGAAGGAGAACCCAACCCACGGCATCAGAGACCCGTCCACATAGTATGCGATCACGTAGGTGCCCGCAGCACTGTACATCAAGGTGCGTAGACCATCCCAGAGGTCGAACAGGCCAACCAGATAGAACAGGGACACGCTGATAATGAACGCATTCTTTCTCCAGGGGTGGGCATCGGGAATGCGCTTGAGCAGGGCGGCGAGTGGGTAGGAGAGGAGGAACGAGCCGATCAGCTTAACTGGAGCTGTGGTCAGAAACTGCTAACAAGGTCGGAGATTATGAAGACGGAGGTTCGTACGCTCATCAATTGATGCGCCAGTGAGCCGAGCTGGCAGCTCGAATACTGCGGGGAGACGTTAGTCGAGTCGGGGAGCTTCTCAAGAAGGGAACGAACTCTGGTCTATGTAGGGCAACATGTTGACCCAACAGAGAAGATGAAAAATAAGAAAGGCGAAAGAATCAGAGCATGGAGAGAAAAAAAGTAGAAAACAGGAAAGAAAAGTAGCTTCGTCATGTGGAAAGCGGAAGTCCCCAACAACTTCCCGAATCCCGCCATCTCCACACTCAACTCCCCTCGATCTTCATCAGCTTCGGTTTGACCTGGGGATTTGTGGTTTTTAGAGCTTCTTCTTCTTAAAATCCCGCCCATCATGGATGTCGTTGCGGCCGCCTCTGGGTACATCTCCAAGATGGTCACCGTGGGCGAATCGGCCTCAGGAGCTTCGTCATCCAAGATGAAGATCTTGCTTCTTGATAGTGAGACAGTGGGAGATTTACTCAGCTGACTCTTGTTATCCATCGCTAACCGATCACAGGTTCCCATCGTTTCAACTGCCATCACCCAATCCGCCCTGCTTAATCACGAGGTCTACCTCATCGATCGCCTGGACAATGCCGCGCGCGAGAAGATGCGCCACTTGCGCTGTCTATGCTTCGTGCGCCCATCACCCACCTCGATTCAATTTTTGATTGACGAACTCCGTGATCCCAAATACGGCGAATACTACATTTACTTAAGCAACATCATCCGCAAATCCTCCCTGGAGCGGCTCGCAGAAGCGGACAGTCATGAAGTTGTCCAGTCGGTGCAGGAACAGTTCGCCGACTTTCTAGTCATCAACCCGGATCTGTGTTCTTTAGGTCTGGGCTTCCCCTTGCAACGGATATGGAGCCAGTCGCCCGATTTGTGGAACCCTGATTCACTACAAAGAGCTACTGAGGGTGTATTGGCCCTGCTGCTTTCGCTGAAAAAGAACCCCCTCATCCGTTACGAGAAGAACAGTCTGTTGGCTAGAAAGCTGGCAACAGAGGTCCGATATCACATTACGCAGGAGGAGCAGCTGTTTAATTTCCGCCGGACGGACACACCGCCTATCCTACTCGTTCTTGACCGCCGCGATGATCCCATCACCCCATTGCTGACTCAGTGGACGTATCAGGCTATGGTGCATGAATTGCTTGGCATCAATAATGGCCGGGTGGATCTGCAGGATGTGCCAGACATCCGACCAGAGCTCAAGGAGATTGTCTTGGCTCAGGATCAGGACCCATTTTTTAAGAAGAATATGTACCAGAACTTTGGTGATCTGGGGCAGAATATCAAAGAATATGTGGAGCAATACCAGACCAAAACGCAGAGCACTGCGAATATCGAGTCTATCGCTGATATGAAACGGTTCGTGGAGGATTATCCCGAGTTCCGCAAGCTCGCGGGTAATGTGAGCAAGCATGTTACCCTGGTGGGTGAGCTCAGTCGGCGCGTTGGCGAGGAGAACCTCCTCGACGTGAGTGAGCTGGAACAGAGCTTGGCATGCAATGATAACCACTCCAATGATCTCAAGGTAAGTTCAAAGACTGTTGTGTTTCGCTATAATACTCACTATTTTCTAGTCATTGCAACGGATTATTCCATTACCAAATGTGCCAGCGGACAGTAAGCTGCGCCTGGTGGCTCTCTACGCGCTTCGCTATGAGAAACAACCCAACAATGCCCTCCCAATTCTACTTGATCTCCTTGTCACAGCGGGCGATGTCCCCTCCAACCGTGCGGCTATTATTCCCAAGCTTCTCGCCTATCACCACTCCCTCCAAGCGCCACCAGTTGCAGGCGGCTTCTCAGACCTCTTCGAATCAACATCCTTCTTCTCCGGTGCGAGAGACCGCTTCAAAGGTCTCAAGGGAGTAGAGAACGTCTACACCCAGCACTCACCTCGATTAGAGGTGACCCTACAAAACCTCATCAAAGGGCGACTGAAGGAATTGCAGTATCCCTTCTTGGAAGGAAGTGGCCACACAAAAGACAAGCCACAGGATATAATCATTTTCATGGTCGGTGGTGCCACGTACGAGGAGGCCAAAATGGTCGCCCAGGTCAATGCCAGCTCCCCTGGAGTGCGTGTTGTCCTAGGTGGCACTTCTATTCATAATAGTACAACATTCCTGGAGGAGGTTGACGATGCTGTGAGTAGTTGGCCGGAACCTGGACCCTCGACAGCTGCAGGACGGCTGCGACGGGAGGTTGGACGATAATTGAGTTTAGCAGGGGTGTGTATGGTAATGGAATGTGAATGTATCAATTCAATGCAAGTATAGAGATCTCTACCCATGACGTTGCCGCTTTGGCGAAGCTCAGTAAATCGAGGCACACTTGGATGTTGATGGCAGACTGAGTAGGAAACTGGTCTAACTGGTCACAATCAATGGCTTGCTACAGCAAATGCAATGGGAGCCATCCCACTTCTCACCTTCTCCCTCTATTAGTATCAAAGAGTCGTCCCTTCAAAATGTCCACTGATTTCTCTTCTGTAGAATACCAATCACACCAAAGCCTCAATAGCAACTATATATTGGACCCTGAAATTCCACGATAGCTGCGCATGGTGGATGGAAATTGCCGTGGATTGGTCTCTACCGGAAGAAATACAGAACCTGGGCTATTCGAAAGAGCGATTGATCTTAGCAAACTGCCTCTTCTAGATAATACAGTGACGAAAATAGCTCTAAGTTTTACTGAACAGAGCAAGAACTCGCTCATGATGGTAGTGGCAGCTACTGTAAGAAACTGTAATTCTTATACCTCAACACTATAAATGATGTGCAGTATAGTCAAAAGTGGGTCCTCGGAGAATGCGGAGAGACATTTCTCGACCTTCACCTCTCCCACTCCTCTCTCCACAACCAACACACAATGGAAACATCCCCAAGAGGCGCCACCTCACCAGCACCGCGCGAACCGACACTAAACCTACCCTCAACAACTGACCCCCCAGGCCCGCAAAATCCCCCCAAGCCCCTCGTATGGCTGGTAAGCGCACCCCACCAAGCTCCCTTCCAAAGTCAACCACTAACACCAACCCAGATCTTCGGCGCAACAGGCCACATGGGCCGCTCCCTGGTTAAGACCGCACTCGCCCACAACGACCTAGTAGCAGCGGTAGGCCGCACCTACGAAAACAGCCCGGAAGCAATGAAAGAACTAGAATCCGAACACGAGAACTGCATGGGTCTCCTCTGCGATGTGCGGGCCCGCGAGACCGTCAAGTGGGTAATTGACCAGACAATCGCGCGGTTCGGGCATATTGATGTGATCGCCAATTGCTCCGGGTACGGCGTCATCGGAGCCTGTGAGGACCAGGATGAATTCGATATCCGGAATCAGTTCGAGACGAATTTCACAGGGACGCTGAATATGATTCAGTTGTCTTTGCCGCATTTCCGACAGCGGAGGGCGGGGCGGTATCTTATTTTCAGTTCGACCAGTGGTGCGCTGGGGGTTCCTGGGTTGGGACCGTATTGTGCGTCGAAGTATGCTGTCGAGGGGTTGATGGAGAGTATGCTTTATGAGGTTGACAGCTTCAATATCAAGGGGACGCTCGTTGAGCCGGGGCATATGCGTCGTGATGACATTGGGGATTTGGTTTCGCCTTCTGCTATGGCTGCCAATCCGTCGGAGCATAATCTATCTTCGCCGTTGCCTTTGTATGGGCATTTCCTTGTCAAGCCGCCAAGTGAGCCGTATAATACGTCTACATCGCCGGCGGCGCATGCTCGGCGGATGTTGATGTGGCTTGGGGATAAGCAGCCTGCGAGTGCGGTCAAGGCGGCGCATTTGGTTTGGCAGCTTGGGCACTGTTCTTATCCTCCGTTGCGGTTGATTCTGGGGACTTATGCTGTTGAGAGTATTCGGGACCGGCTGAAGTGTATTATTGAGGAGATTGAGGATTGGAAGCATCTTAGTTTTCCGTTGGGGGAGGCGCAGCCCACGAGGGATCGATCTTCTGTGGGCGAAGGTGCTGACGCAGATTGAGGGTTTGAGGGTTGTGCGTGATGGTTTGAATGTTTTATATGATACCCCGAATTGCTGAATATCCGAATGGCATCCGATATGTTTCCTACGCTTATATGAATTCCACAGAACGATTGGAAGTGGGTAAGAGAACTGCGCTGATTATTCTATCAATTAGTGTGCTATTTCTTGTAAGAGAGAACGAAGCATACAATCTAAGTTCCAAAGCAAGGAATGCAATAATGTACAGATCTATTCAGATATAATAATACACGCCAGCTCCATCTCAGAATACAATAGAGGAGATATTAGATCAAAAAACAACATTCACCAACTTGCCACCCTTGATAACAATGACTCGTCTTCTCTTCTCCCAGTCATGCTTCTCACTAAGCCACAGTTTGCCCTCGGCAGTCTCCAAGACCCGACTAATAATCCAGTCTTGTTCTTCCTGTGTAGGAGGGGCATTCTTTCCTTTGGCTGTCGACGTCTTCATTGATGGGATCGTAACAGCGCACCGCGTCTTGCCGTTAACCTGCACGGCGACCTTTTGTCCACCGCGAGCGGAGAGAGTCTCTGCTTCTTCAGTTGTGAGGAGGGTGCTTGGCCAGGGTGATTTGAGGATTGATGGGACTTGTTCTTTGGACTTGTTCAGCAGTGTTTCGTGCAGAACTTCCCAGGATTCAGATGAGAGGGCTGGAGCGATAGGAGCCAGGAGACGGAGGAGAGAGGAGATGGTTAGGTAGAGGATGAGAGGGGTAGATGCCGGAGTCGTGTTCAGGGTGTTGGTCAACTTTGTCAGGTCTGAGATGACCGTGTTCAGACTGTAGGGATTACTCTCAAAACAGGTTGTGACGGAAGAGATGGTGTTGTGTGTAGCCAGGATGGCGTCTGCGTCTGCGTCGCTCAGATCCTGGAGGGATGCTGGCAGAGGGGCGGCGTGACCAGTCGAAGTCGAGGCCAGGGTTTCTGCCGGGATGGAGAATGACGACTCTGCTAGGGATTGCTGGGTATCTTGGACGAGTTTCCAGAGCCGGCCGAACCAGCGCTCGATGCCGACGATCTTGGATTCGTCCCATTCTAGGACTTCGCTGACCGGGGCGGCGAACAGAATCTGTGCGCGTGTGGCGTCGGCGCCGTACTTTGATGTGCATTCGGTTGGGTCTACGCCATTGTATTTGCTCTTGGACATTTTCTCAAAGGAGATGTTGGGTGTGACTTGGGTGCCCTTAATCAGAGGCTTGTCTGAGCTGGTGAGGTCGACTTCCTCTGGGCGGAGGAATCGGCCAGTGGAGGGCTCGGTGAAGGTCTTGCCGTGGACCATCCCTTGGCTGAGAAGAGTTTTGAATGGTTCTGCGGGTGCGTTGGAGTTTCCAGCTGGGAACAGCTCCGATTGAGCGAGGAATTTGTAGATGAACCGGGCGTAGAGGAGATGCAGGATAGCATGCTCGACACCGCCGATATAGAAATCCACTGGCCGTGCCACGGCAGGAGAGAATGGTGCCTCCTTGTTGGCAGAGTCGAGGAATCGCAGGAAGTACCAGGAAGAGTCCACAAAGGTATCCATGGTATCTGTATCCCGCTTAGCTGCTCCTCCACAGCTGGGGCAGTTCGTGTGGAGCCATTCTTCGGATGATTCAAGAGGATTGCCCTTCTTCCCTTTCAGCCAATCTCCCTCAATCTTCGGCAGCTTCACTGGAAGATCCTTCACAGGCACGGGCACAGGACCACAGTCACCGCAGTGGATAATGGGGATAGGTGCACCCCAGTACCGCTGACGACTAATCAGCCAATCTCGCAGACGCCAACTCTCGACAAAGTCAGCTTGTCCAACCTGCTTTAGGTCATTGACAATCAGCTCGGAGGCCTCCTTGGAGTGCAGACCTGAGTACTTCCCGCAGAGGGAAGTCAAGAAGCCCTCTTGAGTGAAAGCCTTTGAGTCTGAGGCTGGGACGACACTGTTAGCCTCGCTGCCCGTTGCCTCGGCCTCAATAACGACAGAGATGGAGTCCGGGTTCACATTCTCCTTGAAGAATGACATATCTCTGGCATCGTGACCAGGAACTCCCATGACTGCTCCTTCGCCATAATCGCTAAGGACATAGGGCGCCACGAAAACGGGAAGCTTCCTTGACAGCTGAGGGCTTTCTGTATCAATTTTCCGCAATGGATGAGATACCTCCACGTCTGATAATTTGTACCCAGCCTTCGAGTCCGGCGGAAGTGAAGATGCTTCACTCAAGAACTTCCGAAGAGCCTCGTCTTTCTCGGCAGCCTTTAGCACAATAGGATGGGTCAGAGAGAGCGCAAGATATTCCACGCCATACAGGGTGTCAGGCCGGGTAGTAAACACATCCACATTAACCTGCTCACCCCCATTGCTGTTGACAGTTACGGGAAAAGTGACCTTCGCACCATATGATTTCCCAAGCCAATTCCGTTGCATGGAAAGCACACGCTCTGGCCATCCTCCAGCGAGAGAGTCGAGATCTTTCAACAGCGCTTCCTTGAACTCAGTGATGCGGAAGAACCACTGCTTCAAGTTCAACTTTTCAACCTTAGCACCAGACCTCCACGAGAACCCATTGGAATCAACCTGAACATAAATCAGAGAAAATAACCATATAGCTCGAAACCTTAACCCACCTGCTCATTCGCCAAAACAGTCTTATCGACTGGATCATAATTAACCAGCGCCTCAGCCTGATACGCCAAATCCTTCTGATATAGCATAAGGAAGATTCGCTGAGTATGTTCATAGAACTCAGGGGAACAAGTCGCCAATTCCTAGATCAAACAGATTAACCCAATTCGGCCCGAATACCCAGATAGCCATGGCCATAACCATATCCAAAGTTATAGCCATAGTCTCAGTGATGGCAATAACATACCCTCTCCCAATCAAACCCAGCAGAGATACACCCCAACTGCTCCTTCATCCTCGAAATATTATGCGTCGTCCACTCGGCAGGATCAATCCCCCGCTCAATAGCCGCATTCTCCGCCGGCAACCCAAAAGCATCCCACCCCATCGGATGAATAACCTCATGCCCGCGCATTTTATAAAACCGCGCTAACACGTCTGAGATTGTGTATACGCGCAGATGGCCCATGTGTAGTGTTCCTGAGGGGTAGGGAAACATGGATAAGATGTAGGATTGGGGTTTTTGCGCGGATGTGTTGGTGGGGGATTGTGATTCGGATTGGGTGGTAACCCGCTCGGCTTGCCATTTTTCTTGCCATTTCTTGTCGAGGGTGGGGAGGTCAAGTTTTTGAAGGGTTGATGTTGTGCTTGCGTGTCGGGTTAGGGCGTATGTGTATGCATTGTAGATTTGGAGTCGGTTGGTTGGACGCGCGCGGAGTCGGGTTTGCGCGATTGCGCTTGTGAGGCGGGTTCGAAGGAGGGATTGCATAGTTGGTTTTGGTTTATTGTATCATGGTTGGTTGGGTTTGGGGTTTGGGGTTTGGGGATTTGGGCGATTGGCCTTGGTTCAGTGTTGGTTTGCGCATCTTCAAATCTCCCCGAGGGTCGGATAGCTTTAGCCCCGATTTGGACTAGCGTCTTTAAGGACAATATCTTGACTTGTACAATACTGTTGTCAATATTCAAGTGCCATTTTATACATTTGATATAGTGTTGGATCTTGAATATGTGTCATGTCTAGTATATTCACAGATGCAAATCTATCCCTCATTTTACATTTACCCCCATGAACTAGAGTATCCAAATCTCTCGACACCTCCAGGGCTGGGCAGTCTACAACCTCAAAATATCCCCGGACCGATCAATCCCACCACGGAAATGATCCGTAACGACCCTCCCCCCAAAGACAGTCTCATCAACAATCCCCTGCACATGCTTCGGCTCAACACGCCCATACCAAATCCCCTTCCCAGCCAACGGATGCGGCACCGAAGCATCCTCACCGGACATCATCTTAGGCGGGATATAAACAATAACATTGCCCGCATATTTATGGCCACCAACGTGGCTAATCAATCCGATATTCGCATGGTCCGGCGCATCAACCGTCGCCCGTGCACCTTCACTGCCAGCAGTAAATCCGCGCGCTTGTAAGACTCGCTGGAACTCGGTTTCCAGTGCTGGTGCCATAACGCCGCAGCGCATGTCTCGGCCGCCATGGCCGCAGATTAGGATTGTGGGAGAGTGGTTTATGTCGATTGCGTCGGGGAAGTGCGATGCTAGTTCTGGGACGCGGGTCATGTCTTTTTGTTTGGAGGTTCTGTGGGAGGAGTGCATGTGGTGGAGGCGTTTTGGGAGGAGATAGGCGCGGATGAAGGTGACAAGGTCAGTTTTTTGTTCTGAGGGTGATGCGGTGTCTGCGGGTATTGAGGGGATGTATTTGAAGCTTGGGAAGAGGAAGGCTGAGGCGGTTGTGGGGGAGGTTGTTGAGGGTGCGATTGATGTGGCCGTTGTGAGGACGTTGTTGAATGGCTTGGATGTGTTAGCAAGAGATCGTATCATTGTTGAGGTGTGCTGAGGGTGCCTTGTTCGCATACATCAAGGTAAGGCCCACCACGACCTAGTAGACGCTTCATTCCTCGCAGGAGACTTCCCCAGCCTTCATTCTCGCCATCTTCATCAATGCGACTCGTCCAATCCCGCTTCCCTGTGCAGACGAGGAGCTGCTGCGTATAGGCAGCCATTGTCCCGTTTAACGCATGTTCATGGTCGATTGGTAGACCCTCTGGCATGGCAGGTGTGGATGGGCAATCGCAGCTTGGCTCGGGGCATGATTTCGTCACGGGGAATGGAGGTGGGATATGCAAGCGCACGCGGTGTCGGCTATTGTGGTTTGGGGTGGTGGATAGCAGGCGTATGCTTCGACATGTCTGTCCGGTCCAGTCGCGCGTGACCGACTGCAGGATTGTTGGTCGAAATTTCATCGCATAAATGTGTACAAGTGACAAGAAAGGATGCGAAAATAGCTTAGACAAGTAGACAAGTAAAAAGAGCGAGTGCTGAGTATTAAAGAACTGCTATCTCCGAGTCCGAGACGGACCGGAGCTTCGGTATTATCAATCACCGCCTGCTATTTGCTCCCGTTCCTTTTGTTCTCCGTACTCTACTCCATATGTCCAGACATTGTAAAATTGCCCATATCAAATGAAGGCTAGAAGTTCTCTTCAATTGCCTCAGAATATCCATTCGATTTCAATTTTCGATTTTCAGTTTTTCGAAATGTTGTATCTCCCATCATGGCCCTCGTGGCGTAGATAACAACCAACCGACTGCGTAAATCCAAGCGAGCCCGAAGCCAATCGACTGAGATCAAAGTAGAGTGATCTCTGATGCATGAGAATCCGTGAAAATTTGTGGTGTATTCGAACAAATAAGTCTGTCGCAAAGGTCCCTATGCACGGAGAAGTGGGTTTGCAACCTAGAGAAAATAAACACGTTTAGTTTTCACACAATTTTGGAGACTCGAGGTCAATGCGACCGAGAAGCCCGTCAGAGCACGAAGCGTGTCCTCGCTCAAACAAGCCTCGTATGCATGGGTTTGCCCCGCAGCTGATCATGCGACGATTCGAGGATACGCGCCGAAAGTCTCGACCTTGTGTGGAGTACCGTCCCATCACGGCGATTGATCTGTGGTCACTGTTCGAATTGGATGCATAGATTGATTGTTTGGACGGCTTGTTTGTTGTGATCGCCGTCTGGAGGGGTAATGTAGTGTATGGCGCGAAATGGTTGAGGGGCGGATATTTCGAGCTGGTATGTTAGCACCATCGAAGAGACTGATTTCTCGGTCGCTGTCCGCGTTAGTTGCAGGTGCTCATCTCATAACGTAAAAGCTGCAGCCGTTCAATTCACCCCAGAACCTTGACTGGGCGCAATTGCAATTGTCAAACATGCAAGTCAACCCATATCATGCAAGGTAATTGACGGCGCAAGATAAACACGACGGGCAAGGAAGCCCGCGGGTGGTGGTGGATTAAAACAATCCACAACCCCCTCTCCATTCTTGATCTGGTCATGCGTTCCGGCCTAAATCAAGTTGTAGACACAGTGGACCCGTGCGGACACTTCTCCAAACCTCCTCAGAGGAGGCAGTGTATAGTTGGAGATAGGGGCCGAGTCTCGGCAGAAGCGCGGGTGTATCTCGGCCTGTCTCCCGTGAGATAGGATGAGCCAGGCCATGGTCCTCTACCTTGGGGACCAGGGGACCACGGGACCGGTGGAATTGAGCTAGCAGACTTGGAGATATTCCCAGGCCGGCCCTACGGATATACCTGTAACCCATCCCGATAAGGTAAGCTCACAGATGACCCCTCATTATGTCAGCACCCCGCTGCGGGGGAACTTTTGTACGTTGAGCTGAGGTAATCACTGAGGTGGACAGAGAGAAGTCTAGACAACTAAGAGAATCATTCATATATCTCTATTAGAAGCTATCGTTTTTGGTATTTTGATATTGGAGTTATAGTAGCTCAGTTCCTCTAAAATGATATGTATATGTGACAAACATAAGCTTCAGTAGATTAACTTATAGTTATAGTGTACGACTTAGTATCAAGTAGGGTACCAATTAGCTAACAGCAACAGATGTGAGCTACACAGTGCATGGACATGTACGTGGACCCCAACGTATCAAGGTTCGGAGGATCAGCCCGGAGGGAACCCCTCGTGTAGTGAAGTGTCCCTCATGCGGAGACACGGAAGTGGAAACCTCAGTTGCCGCTCCAGTCCCGCAGTTGGAGGCAGGGTGGCTCCCGGGGTGTGGTCTATATATTGTGCTCTGTTTGCTGTTTCAATTTGACTTTTCCATCCTCTTCATCATCTTCATTCATCTCAGGTAAGACCAAAGCCCTCATTACTCTGTCTTGGATATATATATTTTATATATACTCCCCGCGTGCCCCACTCTCCCCGCTATCAACTGTTTCTCCAACGCCGTTTCGGGGTGGTTGACTTCATTGACTACATTAATTACACATATAAGTCCAGACGCTGACCTTCTATCTATCTAGATTCCATCTTTTTTAATTTCATCTTCACATATTCACAATGGTATTTATTCGTTCCTTTTCCCGTCAATTGCGACGGCCCTTCCTCTCGGGCCTCAAGGCCACCCCGTTCGCTCGGGCGTCACCATTGGGTTCTATCTCCGGAGCACGAACGCTAACTGCTACCGCCAATCTACAGGGCAAGGTTCTTTTGGTTCTTTACGACGTAAGTGATTCCAGTTTTGCAATTTGACGATAATTCGCTAACATGACATAGGGTGGTGAACACTCCAAGCAGCAGCCTGCTCTGCTTGGTACCACCGAGAACGAGCTCGGGATCCGCAAGTGGCTCGAGGATGCTGGCCACACCCTGGTCACCACCTCCGACAAGGAGGGCGAGAACTCCACCTTCGACAAGGAGCTCGTCGACGCTGAGGTCATCATCACCACCCCCTTCCACCCCGGTTACCTGACTGCTGAGCGTCTGGCCAAGGCCAAGAAGCTCAAGCTTGCTGTCACTGCCGGTATCGGTTCCGACCACGTTGACCTGAACGCCGCCAACACTACCAACGGCGGTATCACTGTTGCCGAGGTCACCGGCTCCAACGTCGTCTCCGTCGCGGAGCACGTCGTCATGACCATCCTCCTCCTGGTCCGCAACTTCGTCCCTGCCCACGAGCAGATCAAGAACGGTGACTGGAATGTCGCCGCCGTCGCCAAGAACGAGTACGACCTCGAGGGCAAGGTCGTCGGTACCGTCGCTGTCGGCCGTATCGGTGAGCGTGTCCTCCGCCGTCTCAAGCCCTTCGACTGCAAGGAGCTCCTCTACTATGACTACCAGCCCCTCTCCGCCGAGGCCGAGAAGGAGATTGGCTGCCGTCGCGTCGACAGCCTCGAGGAGATGCTCGCCCAGTGTGATGTGGTCACCATCAACTGCCCCCTGCACGAGAAGACTCGCGGTCTCTTCAACAAGGACCTCATCTCCAAGATGAAGCCCGGTGCTTGGCTCGTCAACACCGCCCGTGGTGCCATCGTCGTCAAGGAGGATGTCGCCGAGGCCCTCAAGTCCGGCCACCTCCGCGGATACGGTGGTGATGTCTGGTTCCCCCAGCCCGCCCCCAAGGACCACCCTCTCCGCTACGCCGAGCACCCCTGGGGTGGTGGCAACGGCATGGTTCCCCACATGTCCGGTACCTCCATCGATGCGCAGGTCCGCTACGCCAACGGCACCAAGGCCATCCTGGACAGCTACTTCTCCGGCCGTGAGGACTACCGCCCTGAGGACCTGATCGTCCACAAGGGTCAGTACGCCACCAAGGCCTACGGTCAGCGCAAGTAAAAGTGCACCTAAGAGTCTCCGGGTTCATGTTTATGCTTTTCTTTATGAATGTTCATAGGCCCTAACGGGCGATGCTGAAAAGGTAGCATCATTCACGATACCAATGAAATAATATTTTAAGTGAATTTTCTCTTTTACCTGTTTTAGATTTGCATTTGAAACGTGCATGATGATCCTAGTGGAGACGTCGATCTCAGCCCAGCCTCTAGTGGGGTCGGCCATTTTTAAGCATTCCGAGGTTATTGCTGGATAGGATATACTTCAATAGTCTATCACCTTTTTACAAAACTTCAGGTAGTCTCGATGATAAAAGAACTCTATAAACAGAGCAAATCCATATGTAAAACGCCAAGCTCAATGCAATATAAAAAATAAAATAAACCTCTCGCAAAACGCCCATGAATATACCCCAGAAACCCCAAAGAGACAAATGCACGGTTTCCCAGGATATCAATGCTAAAAATACCTCTCTCCACTTCCATTCCACCCTCAACGCCTCTCACTACCATGGTGATCCTCCTCATCACTATCATCCATAAACCCCTCCTCCAAATCCCGACTCAACCTCCCCTCAGCCTCAGCAACAGACCCACGCCTCCGTTCCAACGCCTCCCGCCTAGCGGCATCCATATCCATCCCAACAAGAATCTCCCCCTCATCGTCGTCGATACTGATAGTATCATGCTCAGCCATGTGCGCGCCGCGCCGCCAGGTAGAAGGTAGGAAAAAGCGCATTATGGCGTCGGCTATGCGGTCGCGGAGGGAGAGGGTGTGGGCTGATATATTGTGTAATGGGAGGTACTGGGAGTAGCGTTGGTGGTAGCGGCGGAAGATTGGGAGGATTAAGCATGTGGCCAGGATGTAGATTGTTAGGGCTATTAGGGCTGGGATGAGGATCGTCTGGTTGGGGTTGGGTGTTAGTCTTGTTTGTTTGTTTGGGTGGGTTGTTGGTTGGTTGTTTAGATGGGTGGGTGAGTGGGTGATCTGGGTCTGGGGGTTTGATGTGTTGTTTCTGGGGGATCTGATAGAGGTATAGGGGAGTCGGTCACTGGTTTGGATAGGGGTTGAGGGCGTACCTTTGCGAAGACGCCTGATGATCCCATATTGGGCGGACTTGCTTGGTCTTCAGGGCGGGACGATGGGTGATGCGCCGGGGTTGTGTATGGTTGTGTATGGTTGTAAAGCGGAACACGGGGTAGGGAATCGGAGTCCGGGGCGGGCTCAGGCGCATGCAGATCGCGCAAATACCTTTGATATTGGAGATCGGGTCTCATTGTCGCGACACGTGACCGGACCTAGTGTTTCTCCGGACGAGCCCCCTAATCAATAGATGATTGACGCTCGGGCTTAGAGAGGGACTTGACTGCAGAAAATCTTCTTTAATTTCCGTTTCTCTTCTTCGTGGGGTATGTGTGTATGTGTCTTGACTCCCTTGACCACTCCCTTGACCCCTCGGGACCTCCGTAGCAACAAGTATACTAACTCATCCCAGGGACACAAACAGACCGTTTCCGATTTGAATGTCACCACGCCCTTATAGATCCCCATAGCTAGCGCTTTGGATCGCGAGATTTATTAATCCCTTTACCTCTGAGAGTGTCGAGGGAGCCCTTATGCTGTGCCCCTCTCAGTGACGCCCGCCAATATGCCATCCAGCTCACATGCCGACAAATCGAGGCAAACATCGGCTGGAAAATCGTTTTTCGGAAGGAAGTTGTACAAAGAGAAACCTGCGGAGGATCGATATGATACTTACGGGGGTTCTTACGACAACCTGGCTCCCCCTGGGAGTGCCGCTGGCTCACGCTCATCCCGCTATTCGAAGCGGTCTTCAATCCAATCAGTCGACATGACCCATGACTTAGACCCAAGTAGCCTCGCTCCCACGGCCGGTGTTATTACGTCCATCCCCTTCGAAAGCCTCCCCTCCGACACTCGCACACCCATCCCAATCGACAGCATGTCCCGCCCGGATTCCTCGCGTCATGAACCCTCGCCCAACCACTTGGGTAAAGCTGGGGCGGATTTCCACCAATATCCTACCTGGACCTCGACTTCTGCGCCAAATGGTTCACCCTCACATCCCTCTGGCCCGCGTCCTCCCCCGCATGCTTCAAACACGACCATGTCAAGTAGCCAGTCGGGCGACCGGGGCGCCAGATATCAACAATGGGGACGGCCAGGTAGTTCAGCAGCGAACATGGGTCCCAGCCATAACTCCTCCTCGATCGATTCATCCTCCAACTCCCGCACCTCCCTCGATCAAACAAGCCTTTATTCCTCCGTTTCGTCCAATGCGCGGGGATCGAACTACTTCGCGTCGGACGGTTCTTCCCGCACCCTCACACCCTCGCATTCAAGTGATCGCAATATTGGATTCCCTCCAAGTTCCAGCTCTGGCCGCTTGTCAAATGCGCCCTCGACCCACCAGATTTCGCAACCAATACCGGCCGCTGTACCCCGGCCACAGGATAACTATCTCACTCGACCGAGAGACGACCGGATTGTGGATCAGCTATTTCTGGAGTTGATGCAGAAGAGAGGTTGGCAGAATCTCCCTGAGCAGGCGAAACGGCAGATGTTGTCATACCCCGCTTCAAAGAAATGGACGCTGGTACACCAAGATCGCCTTACCGAGCTACAAGGCGAGCAGAAGAGACGGCAGAATGCCCGACAAACTCATGGCCATGATGGTCTGTCTGGTTTGCTTGAGCGTGCTGATGAGGAGGGTAGTCCGGAGTGGTATGTGAAGAAGGTTATGGATGATACTATTACCTCCAAGCAGCTTGCCAGTTTGAGCGTCAGCTTGCGGACACAACCCATCAGGTAAGTGCTGTTTCTTTCTAGAGATCGCACACCACTAACAACTATATAGCTGGGTGAAAGCCTTTGTTGAAGCTCAGGGTCAAGTTGCCCTGACCAATGTCCTCTTGAAGATCAACCGCAGGAAAGCATCTGGTCCTGTGCCAGCGCCACCAACCGGAGACAAGGATCTTGACCGCGAATATGATATTGCCAAATGTTTGAAAGGTCTGATGAACAACAAATATGGTGCAGACGATGCTCTAGAACACCAAAATGTCTTGGTTGCCCTTGTCAGCTCGCTATCATCCCCCCGTCTGAATACTAGGAAACTTGTCAGTGAAGTCCTTACCTTCCTCTGTCACTGGGGCGATGGCCAAGGCCACCAAAAGGTCCTACAATCCATGGACAAGGTCAAACACGACCACAATGAAACTGGCCGCTTTGACGCCTGGATGCGTATCGTCGAGGTCACCATCGATGGCCGTGGAAAGATGGGCAGTCTGGTCGGTGCCAGTGAAGAGTACCGCAGCGGTGGTATCGGCATGGAGAACCTACTCATGGAATACGCCGTCTCAACCATGATCCTGATCAACATGTTGGTCGATGGGGCCGAAACCGATCTGCAGCTACGATGCCATATCCGCGCCCAGTTCACATCATGTGGAATCAAGCGTCTGTTGACGAAGATGGAGGGATTCCAATACGAGGTCATCGACAAGCAGATCGAACGGTTCCACGAGAACGAAGCCATCGATTATGAGGATCTCCTCCAGCGCGAGAACAGCAGCGTTAAGGATAGCATCGAGGGCGAAGTCAAGGATATGAGCGATCCCATGCAAATTGTTGATGCTATTTCGTCCAAGATTAATGGCAGTCGGTCTCACGACTACTTCCTGTCGGCTATGCAGCATATGCTTCTGATCCGGGAGAACTCCGGCGAGGAAGGGTTGCGTATGTTCCAGCTGGTAGACGCCATGCTGAGCTACGTTGCTATGGACCGAAGGCTTCCTGACCTTGACCTACGACAAGGGTTGACCTTCACCGTGCAGAGCCTGTTAGACCGACTGCATACCGATGCCGAGGCGAGACGGGTGTATGATGAGTCTCTCGAGGCCCGGCAGATTGCCGAGGCTGCTATCGCCGAGCGCGATGAGATGAGAGCCCAGGTTGAGCTTGGTGCAGAGGGCTTGGTCAAGAAGCTACAGAAGCAGATTGAAGAGCAGGCTGGCATTATCGAGCTGCAACAGCGGCAGAATGAATCGTTCAAGGCGGAGGTTGCAGAAGTACAACGGTTGCGTGCGCAGGAATTGCAGCGCAATGAGCTGGAAACTAGAGAATTATACCTCATGCTTCGAGATGCTCAGGATATCGCCGCGTCCAATGCTCGCAAGGCCGCCAACCCCGAAGTGGAGGCTGATCCTTCCCAGATGCCCGGTATCATGGATCGGGAACGACTCATGGAACGTCTGGAGCGTCAGCTCGAGCGGACCAAGACTCAATTCAAGCTGGAGGGCAAGGTCTGGGGCCAGCATGGACCATCGGATCGCTTACGTGAACTGCGTGAGAAGATGGATGGCGAGGGTGAGGACAGCGATGAATTCGCTGAAACTACCCGGCGCAACCTGGACCCTGGTTCTCTGGGTTCTGTCTATCGCAAGCGCAGCCATGTCCCTGAGATGGGTGCTCTTGAAGATGGAGAGGAAATCTTGGACAACAATGGCCAGCCGATTGATAGGGCTCGTCTTGATAATCTATACCGTCACCGTCTGAACCCCGCCCAAGCTACTGGTTTGCTAGGCGAGCTTGCGTCCAAGGTTTCTAAGTTCGATGCTGAAGATGCTGATGCTACCCCGACTGCACCTGATGCCGCTGAAGGGCAGCAGCTATCTGAGAAGGCTCCTGTGGCGGCTCTGCCCCCTCCTCCGCCTCCTGGGGGCAAAATGGTCCCTCCACCACCTCCTCCCCCTGGGGGCATGGCTGTTCCTCCTCCCCCTCCAGGTGGCCAGATGGTCCCTCCTCCACCTCCGCCTCCGGGTGGAGCAGCTGGACTGCCTCCTCCCCCGCCGCCTGGTGGAAAGATTGGACTGCCCCCTCCGCCTCCTCCGGGTGGTGCTAAGGGTGTTCCTGGACTTCCACCACCACCCCCACCCCCCGGTGGAAAGGTTGGGGCACTACCTCCCCCGCCGCCTCCTCCAGGTGGTGGTGGGATGGCTCCTCCCCCTCCACCGATTCCTGGGGCCAAGGGTCTCATGCCTCCCCCGCCTCCACCGCCCAACGCTCCCTTGGGCTCTGGCTGGCGACCAGCATACATGGTTGGAGATGTTTCGCCAGGTACAACGCTCATGCCTTCTATCCGGCCTAAGAAGAAGCTCAAGGCTCTGCATTGGGACAAGGTTGATACTCCGCAAGTGACTGTCTGGGCTGCCCACGCACCCACCGCCGAACAGAAGGAAGAGAAGTACACCGAGCTCGCCAAGAAGGGTGTATTGGACGAAGTCGAACGGCTGTTCATGGCGAAGGAGACCAAGATCTTCGGAGCTAGCACCGCCGCAAAGCAGCGCAAAGACAAGAAACAGATCATCTCGAACGATCTATCCAAGAACTTCCAGATTGCTTTGGCTAAATTCTCCCAATATCCCGCCGAAGAGGTAACCCGCATGATCATCCACTGTGACAAGGACATCCTCGACAACATGGTCGTCATGGACTTCTTGCAGCGAGATGAGATGTGCAATATACCCGAGAACGTCGCTAAGCTCATGGCACCATATAGCATGGACTGGACCGGACCTGGCGCAGCCAGCTCTGACCGTGAACAGGATCCCAGTGAGATCACCCGCGAGGATCAAATCTATCTCTACACTGCGTTCGAGCTGAATCACTACTGGAAAGCGAGAAACAGAGCGCTCGCTCTGACGCGCTCCTATGAACCGGAGTACGAACATCTCTCCAGCAAATTGCAGGAGGTCGCACGAGTCAGCGAGTCATTGCGTGATTCCGTGTCTTTGATGAACGTTCTCGGTTTGATCCTGGATATTGGTAACTTCATGAACGACGCCAATAAACAGGCTCAGGGTTTCAAGCTGAGTTCCCTTGCTCGACTGGGCATGGTCAAGGACGACAAGAACGAGACTACCTTTGCTGATCTGGTTGAGCGTATCGTTCGGAATCAGTACCCTGAGTGGGAAGGGTTCCTTGACGAGATCAGTGGTGTCATTGGTCTGCAGAAGATCAATGTTGATCAGCTTCGTACTGATGCTATGAAGTACATCAGCAATATTAAGAACGTGCAGGCCAGTCTGGATGCTGGTAACCTGAGTGACCCGAAGAGATTCCATCCCGAGGATCGCGTCAGTCAGGTTGTTCAGCGGTCTATGAAGGATGCTCGACGCAAGGCTGAGCAGCTGCAACTCTACCTTGATGAGATGGTCAAGACGTATGATGATATTATGGTCTTCTACGGTGAAGACAATGCGGATGAGAATGCTAGACGTGACTTCTTTGCCAAGTTGAGCGCGTTCTTGGTCGAGTGGAAGAAATCCCGAGAGAAGAATACCTCCTTGGAAGAATCAAGGAAACGCACAGAAGCATCTCTCGCTCGCAAGCGCATCAACGTCAATCTTGCCAACAGTGGTCCGCCTGTGGAAACAGCCAATTCACCCGCTACAAGTGGCGCCATGGACTCATTGCTTGAGAAGCTACGTGCCGCAGCACCCCAAGCAAAGGATCAACGAGACCGTCGCCGCCGTGCTCGTCTCAAGGAGCGCCATCAGGTCCGTGTGGCCTCTGGCCAGAAACCGCCGTCTGATATAAACGACGCTGAAGAAGAAGACGGGGCCGAGAAGCCGGCTGACGGCGAAGGCCGTGTTGATGCGAATGGTCACCTCAGCCCTCCAATCCCCGAAGAGGAAGACGGCAAACAAGAAGCTCAGATTTCTGAAGGGGAGGATGTTGCTGATCGTGCTGCTAGCATGCTTCTCGGTCTACGGAGTAATTCCGATGCAGGCGGCGAGCGCCAAAGAAGGAGGAGAGAGAGCGCCGACGAAGAACGTCGCAATCGCCGCATGAGACGCCGCAATCCTGCAACGAGCGGAAGCAAAGATAGTGCAGATGGCGGCCTTCCCACAGTGCAAGAGCCTGCTTCGCCAACGCAGACGGAATCCGTCGTCACAGATGATCCACCCGCAAGCCCACCCGACTCTCAACCCCCGCCTTCAATTGTCGTCTCAGAGCAGGACGACACATTATCACAAGAAAACCCCTCGGAGGGTTCCTCCCCCCACAAACCAATCGATTTGTCGGACTGAGTCTGCCAGTCGACTCTAATCTAATGTTTGATTGTTTGATAGATTCACCCTGATGTCGCCTCGGAATCTTTTTGTTTCCTGTGTCTCATCTTCATATCATCACTACTACACCCCAACTACTCTACAATACACATCTGCCCTCGATTGTATAATACCCTTACCAATACCAATACCCTCCTTGAATCCCGCCCTCTCCTCGACCTTGATTTGATGAGCCGAGCATGGTGTCATGATACCATTTCCTTGTTTCTTCTTTTCTTTTCTTTAATTTTCCTCTGCTCTCTTTACCATGCTCCCGCTCTATCTTACTAGTATCCATTCATGTGCAATCTTTGTCTTCCTTTTCATCGTCATCATCGTCGTCGTCATCATCTTCACATACCCACTTGACATTGTTTGTTCTTCGTGCGGTTCTCGTCCCATCTCCCTTTGTACATAATCTCTTTTTTTACCTTTTCAACATGCTGCCTGCTATGGAAATGCTGCCATGATTTGAGGGTATACCATACAATTGCATTTTGAGCTCTCTGTTCACGCTGCATCTTGATTCCTGCATTCTCTTTTACGCCTTTGACTTCTATAATTTCCGTGCTGTTTATTTTGAAAGGCCCCTCTGCTTACCATGTATCCCTGACCATAGAATTGCGTTAGATGTACTTACATTGCGCTTCTTGTCTAGATGTATCGCAGGTAGATGCAATCCATATCATGATATCTTTGGGAATAAAGCAAATTGTGACAAGAATTAATTGATGATAAAACTGCCCGGCATTGATTGCCCACCACGTTCCTACTGTATTTACTCTTGCATGTTTTCTCTGTTAGTACCTTTTAACTTATACTTCGGAGAATCAATCACCCGACCCGGTGATTGTACGCCTGAGGTGTCGATATTTTTGACCAGGAATCCAACAACCTAGCTATCTCGTCATTTACCAGTCACCTTTGGTCCAGTCTCTGCATGCGAGCATCTCATCGACTATTGCGTTGGGCCGCCCCCTTCGGCCAAGCAACGAGTCGACCATGGCCAGCGATATTGAATAAGGCCCATATCCGACGTCATGCATTTCCCCCAGAAACGCCAGTCTTGCGGCGAACTGGCGGACAAGTGCGAGCGTTCTCATCGACCTTGCCCACTCGATTCATGCTAGATGCGGACTCCACAATCTACGCCCTCTCCACCGCACCCGGTAGAGCAGCCATTGCGGTAGTACGCGTCTCCGGCCCAGCCAGTGTACCAGTATGCAATCCCGCAACCCCTCCACATCACATATTCTAACAATCCTTTTAGATATACAAAGCCCTCTGTCCAAACACAGCCCTCCCAAAACCCCGCCTTGCAGCCCTTCGCACCCTCTACGACCCAACCAAACCCCCATCCCAAAACACAGTCCTCGACGCTGGCGCCTTAGTCCTCTACTTCCCAAACCCCAAAACAGTAACAGGCGAAGATGTCCTGGAATTCCACATCCACGGCGGCCCCGCAATCGTCAAAGCAGTCCTATCGGCAATCTCCAACACAAACACACCAAACCATGAAGTCCGCTACGCCGAACCAGGCGAGTTCACCCGTCGCGCATTCATGAACGACCGCCTGGGTCTCCCCCAGATCGAAGCACTAGGCGATACCCTCTCCGCAGATACAGAGCAACAGCGCCGACTAGCCGTGCGCGGATCCAGCGATGCCCTCCTAAAGCGGTATGAGGCATGGCGGCAGCAATTGCTGTATGCGCGCGGCGAGTTAGAGGCGCTGATTGATTTCTCTGAAGATCAGCATTTCGACGAGTCGACTGAAGAGCTGGTTTCTTCTGTTGCGACACAGGTGGGTGCGTTGAGTGTGCAGATTGGGTTTCATATTCGGAATGCGTCGCGTGGTGAGCTGCTCAGGAATGGGATTAAGGTTGCGCTTTTGGGGGCGCCGAATGCCGGGAAGAGTTCGTTGTTGAACCGCGTTGTTGGGAAGGAGGCTGCTATTGTTAGTACTGAGCAGGGGACCACTAGGGATATCGTTGATGTTGGGGTTGATCTTGGTGGGTGGTATTGTAAGCTTGGTGATATGGCAGGGATTCGTGCCGAGAGTGGGGATGGGTCTGGTGAGGTTGTTATTGGTGCTGTTGAGAAGGAGGGTATTCGCAGAGCTAGGGAGAGAGCTCTGGAGTCTGATGTGGTTATTGTGGTGGTTTCGCTGGAAGAAACCGCTGATGGGGTTCGTCTCTTCGTTGAGCCAGAGGTTCTCGATGCGGTTAATGACTGCGTGGATGCGGGCAAGTGTCTTCTTGTGGCGATTAACAAGTGTGACAAACTACACCCTGATCTGAACGGTGGTGTACCACAGTCGTTATCTAATACGATCCACGAGATCTTCCCAGCAGTACCAGCAGATCGTGTATTTGCCATTTCATGTGAAGAGGCACAGCGTGGATCTTCTACTGTCACCACAGACCCCGGCAATCTACAAGCCTTCCTACGCGGTCTAATCTCGACATTCGAACAAATTGCCTCGCCTCTCGGCATGGATGGAGATGGAAGTAGTCAATATGATCTTTCGTATTGGGAGGATTCCCTAGGCGTCACTCATCGCCAAAGCTCTAATCTACAAATCTGCCTCGACCATCTGGACGACTTCATGTCCCAAGCTTCTTCCGCCAAATCCCCCGGCTCACGCAAGAGTCAGATACCCTCTATTTACCACGAGTCTGAAATCGATATCGTCACTGCTGCGGAGCACCTGCGCTTTGCGGCGGATATGTTGGCCAAGATCACAGGCAAAGGCGAAAGTGGAGATGTCGAGGATGTGTTGGGAGTTGTCTTTGAGAAGTAAGTCCAAATGGAGACAATGGTCCTCTAGTCTGGATGATGAGCTGACGGTATCGCAGATTCTGTGTCGGCAAGTGAATGGTCCGATTGGAGTATGCTTCCGATGTGATCATGTTGATTTGCAACACTGTCCGAGTCGGTCTTGCTCGATTAGAGTCATGATATCGACTGGCTGCTGGCTGCAATTGAGATGCAGATAATTTCGCTGCCCGTCATGCATGCTCTGACATGACGAGCTATCCCAGGCCTAATTTTGACTGGGAGACACAGACCCTGGGTTTGGGTGGTTTGCCGGGGTGTTGTATCCTCCTCGACCCATTGTAGGCGACATTCGCGATGAGCGAGATCAGGCAAAAGAATTGAGATAGAGGTTCGAAGTCCTAAACTGTCTTGAGGCAATTCAATGCTGGGGTTGTTGATATAGGCAGTGTTTGTATGAATAGACCAGATAGACCAAACTAATATTGTATGATAATAACAATCACGATTCCTCGCGTCCTGAGTCCATATTTATAAGGAATCATTTTCTAAGTTGTCTGCCTTGGTCTCCGGCCCCAGGAACGCGATGAATCATTCAGGCACCCAGAATCTTCCATCCGGCCACATAGTACAGTCCCGAATTAGAGATAATCGCCATTGTTTCTCCTGCTTTGTAAGTAAAGGCCAACCTCCTGTCAAACAAGCATGGTAGCTGTCTGAGTCAGGGCTCTTCGGCTACGTAGTTTTCCGCCCGGGGTACTTGGTAGTCTGGGTGTCTCAGCCAGGCAGCCGGATGTACCGATACAAGATTTCGGCACGCCCTAGGCAATCAAAATTGGCCGGAAGAGAATTAATTCTCGCTCGGTTTAAGCGTCCGATACTACGGTATCATGTGGCACGCGGAATGCAGCTGAAACGAGGTCAGCTGAGTACAGGAGCCGTTCAAGTTTGAGGTTGAAACATACTTCTTTGAGATCCACCAAACCATGGTTCGGGGTTAATCTTAGATTCGCTCTTTCCCCTATTGGGCCAATCCATCCATGAAATCTGCGATCGGGCTTCCAAGGTTGATTGCCGACATCTAACTTTTTTTTTTCGATCATGTCAGATCTAAGAATAACTTGACTGCATCTTTCCTTCTAGAAGAACGATTGAAGAATAGTGTGCACCCAATCAGATTATCTTATCTCGCAAATTACAAACCACATGGCCGAAAGTACCCCCGAAGATAAAATAAGAAACCCACGTTGTTCCCCTGCAGAAACTCCCCACGTCATCCCTCCCTGTCGGAGCTGAGCCCGTGTGTACCTCGCAGAGAGCCTTGGTCGAAAGCAAAATTGGACCTTATCCTGCGCCTCTTGGTAATGCAAAAAGAAAAGGGCACGGGTGGCGCCTTCTTGCCGTCTAGAATTTCGGCGAGGATCTTCGTCGGATAACCACCGATGCAGGGTGGTGCAGGGTGTGCTATGAATAGCGACGTCTTAGGCCGGCAGGATCCCGGTTCTTCCATGTGGCTTCTTCTTGAAAAGCTAGTTGGCTTTCTTACTAATTAGACTTTGCTTTGTGCTATAGGATTTGTAAGGTCTCCTTTCTTCCAGGCTCCCTTGTTATATCTTTGTTTGTGGTTTCTAAACATAGTATCTAAAAGTGCGGTGCTACGTAGTTATGAGAAAGCCATAGAATAGAATAGTACATTATATAATATTGCGTGGTAGCCTAGCAAAAGAAGCTAAGATGGGGTAGTGGTCAATAGATTCAGTATCATTGTACTAAGCTTTGGTAATTTGGAATATTTTCCACTAATAAGAGGAGACTACCTACAGAGGTTGGTCAACAGCATTGAACATATGAATAGTCGTTCTAGTGAGAGTCGAAATAGGTAGGATTGTATGTTCGCACGAGAGCACAAATTACTGTGGCGTGGAAATGTTTGAAAGAAGTGAAACAATCATGAAAGGGCATAATTCGTGGGTATCATATTAAGGCCTGTTCTAAGATACACGATCCTCCCTCCACAGTTGATCGATGAGCCATCCTGCTTCATCAAACCAATGAACTGCATGTCCAGCCCTCCTCATCACGCCAACGCAAGCACAAAAAGCTCACAGATTCTACACCCGCGTTTTGCTCATCCGAATATACGTCGAAAGATAAACCGACGAAGAGAAAGGAAAGGCAAAACAAGGTGCTGATCCGCACCATCTCCTCCCAGTTGTAGATAGCCCAGTGGAGCCCCATCACATCAAGTCGGCCGAATCCATACCGTAGGCGTGGTAATAATCGAGAATGAACTTTTGCAATGCACCAAGGCAATGATCCTCGTGAAGCAGATGCTGGCAGGAAGCGGACCGTTCGACATGGTAGTAGACCTGGGAAATTTGCTGATAATGGGCGCGGCATTCATAGCAGAAGAAAGGGAATTGGTCGATGAGTTTGTTCGCACACCACGCGTACTCGGGGGTTTCGAAAACAAGCTCCTTGATGCGGCCGTATTTCACGCATCTGCCTTCTTCCCAGTGTTCAAGTATTCCAGAGAACCCGAGGTAGCAGTTCTCACAAAACCAGCACTTCCAGTTGTGGAGGTGAGGGTTGTTGCCCATTGGGCCAGGGACCATTGTAGCCATGATTGCTGGTGTGGGTGAGGATGAGTGGATGTTTGTGAGTGGGTAAGGGTGATGTGAAAGGAGATTAGTTGGAGATGTGAATTGTTGAAAGTCAAATTCTCAAAGACTGGAAACTTGAGAAGATGTAGAAGGTGAAGAAGAGAAAAGAGGAAGAGGAAGAAGCGCAGAGTGACGGTATAAATAGTCGAGCAATCGTCGATGAATTTGGAAACCACGAGATGTTCGGAAGAAAGGCACGACCACCTCGTCCCTCCCAGTAAACCCTCACATGTGCTTCAGATTTACAATACTGTCGAGCAATAATATCAAGATTAGAGCCGTTGTGATGAGGTTTATGCCATATTCTGAACAGACAACTCATACCAACTCATACGGCCCACTTCGGTAGTCCATCCTCGGGACAACATTAGCGTCAATATCCCCTTCAGGTGCTGTGTATACAGAGGATGTCGAATCCGAATCCGAGTCCGAGTGATCATCAACAGTATCTATGGAACTTTCAGATGGTCCCTCAGACCTTGAAATTGGAACTTCAATTTCACGCCGAGGGAGGACTGTTCTAGGAACGCGGTCTTCATCATTATGATTCCGAGACTGCACTGGCGTATCCACAGCGGTAGAACCCCCAGCTCTCGCACGGCGAGACGGTGTTCCAGAGGATCGCTGAGGAGTTTGAGAGGAGAATCCAACGGGAATTGGCCGAGGAATGAAGGTGGCCGATAATGTGGGGTCTTCTCTAGCTGGAGGTCGACTCGGACTCCTTCTACCAGCATTTTGTTCTGGTTGACGTATAGGAGATACCGTACGAGACTCATTGCGGGCAGAAGCCGATCTCTCATCTATCAGAGGTGGCACTTGCTCACTGGTTCGCGTTCGGATATGCCACGAGGGGTCGATGGGGTGTTGAGGACCAGTCCGATAGCCATGTTCAGGGGTTGTTGAACGACTGCTAGGCAGCCCCTGCTCTAGAGTTGCAGGGAGCTCTTGAGGTAGGAAGCGGAGCTCTTGAGGCAAGAAGCTTCCAAAGGCTTGGACATGACTAGGCTTTGAATACTGGGCAGAAGAACTCCACTGACTCGCAGTCTGGGGCATGCTTGGGACATGACTTGGAGGCACGAGGCCAGAGTCCACCAAAGCCTGGTTGAGAAGTTCTCTCACCCGGTTTTTGCAGTCTTCAGAGATAACGGTATCTAGCGAGAACCCAATTGTCTCTGGCATGCGAATGATATCTGGAACATCCATGTCGGGTATACTAGTGCGAGCCAAGAGCATCTGAAGAACATCCAAATGGCCATGGTATGCCGCGTAACGGAAAGGTTGCCAGCCACCCTCGTCCTTTTTTGATGCTGATGCACCGCGCTCTAGCAACAGCGAGACCACAGGTAGATGGCCTGTCATAGCAGCCAAACATAGAGGCGAGTCAGAGCGGGACGTAGCTTGGTGCTTCTGATAGAGAGGAGATCCTCGATCTAACAGTTTTCGCACCGCAGCCACATGTCCACAGCGACATGCTACACTTAAAGGCCGATCCCCAGCGCTGTCTCGGGCATCCAACGAGGCTCCTTTGTCACAAAGGAGATCCAAAAGGTGTATTGAGCTCCGTGCTGCTGCGATATGCAAAGGTCTCTGCTGGTGCTGATATTCTGATGCTTCAATGTCAGCACCCTCTAAAATTAACAGTCTTGCTATTTCGATGCTGTCCGCCATACAAGCATAATGGAGTGGAGTAAGACCTGTTTTGCATTGGCTGTTGAGGTCTGCACCCTTGCGTAGTAATGGCTCAACGACAGCAAACTGGGTTTGAATAACGGCCAAGTGCAAAGCCGTTCGTCCCACGGCATTAACCTTGGCCAAAGATCCTTTCTTCTGGCTGAGAATGTTCACCGTCTCTTCATGTCCATTGTAGGCAGCCCAGTGCAAGGCCGTCATCCCGGTGTCGTCCATACCACTGGACGAAGCCCTTTGCTTAGATGTCAACAGAAATTCGACAGCCTGGGCCCGGCCTGCCTCGGCAGCACATATCAATGGGGTCTTGCGATCCCGACCCGCGGCCTCTATATTAGCTTTATGAGCCAGGAGTACCGCAATGGCTTCAACGTGACCTGCTTCGCATGCGTAGTGCAATGCCGACATCATGGTAGCGTCTTTGGCCTCGATATCAGCGCCGTTTGAGACAAGTATGTGCACAATTTCAGCATCACCCTGCTTTGCCGCAGCGTGCAGAGTAGTCATTTGATTCTCAGCACGCGTGTTGACCTTTGCTTTATGCATAAGCAGCATCTGCAGAGCTTCATGTTGGCCACGGTCAACAGCAACTCGCACTGCTGTACGGCCTTGGTAGTTCGCAACTTCGGCAATGTCACTCTCCACCATGAGTGAATTTATGACACCGCAATGTCCACGTGAAGCTGCAAGATGAAGTGCGGTCCAGCCAGACCCATCTGTCACGTCTAGTCGAGCATTATGCCGTATCAGGAGCTCAATGACATCATCTTTTCCGCAATGCGCAGCAACCAGCAAGGCGTTTCGGCCTGATGCTTTATGGCGTTCCTCGATGTTTATACCATATTCGATGAGACGTTCTACCTCGCCTAGAGAACCAGCTTGGGCAGCCTTCACAATCTGTGGAATAGAAGAGGCATCCGCGCCGGTCACATCAATGCTGACATGGGGATTAATTTCTCGTTTGGGTTTCCTTCTTGTCAAAGGTGTGCCGTTAGCTACTTTCGGTGAACCTTTGGAAGAAGTCGAGGCAAGATTCAGACGACTAGAGGTATTTATGCGGAGCAAGGATGAGATCCTTTCAAGCTTAGAGCCAGATCTTTCAGGAGCCTTCGGTGTCTTAGTATCCGACTTGCTTCGAGGCATATTTTCCAAGCCTGGGCGCGGGGTAGGTTGGTAAGAGCTTGCTCTCCTGTGGGCCGGATGCACCGGCGCCGATGGACTAGTCGGCAAGACGAAATGATCTTGCTGGGATGGAGGAGCATCCAATGACGGCCTTGTAAAACTGCTATTGCGCGTAGGGGTACTGGCATAGCCCTCATCTGTAAATGGACTAAATGGACTTCGGCCACTATGGGTGTCGGTCTGGCTACCGAAGTCCCCAATGGAGGGTAAGAGTTGCTGAGGAGACCTGCGATATACCGGCGAATCTGCGAGAGCCTCGTTGAAATCAAAAGCTCGGTCATTGACTGTGAAACTGCTGTTCTGCGAGATGCTTGCCGCGCTAGATGTAGCCTGACTCCGTGCAGACAGTAGAGTTTCGGTATCGTCGCGAACCCTGCGCATAATGCGACGAGTCGTTGCCTGTCTCAACAGACGGACCTGCTCTTGTGATGTATGACTGTCGAAGTAATTAACTTCTGTGTGGCTTTCAGACACATGGGAACATTCTCACCATTGGCAGACCTGGAGTAATAGCTGCAACGCCATGACCTGCGCATGTAGTTTTTCCTGGTGTCCTTTCATAATATCTTCTTTCCAAATGATTCTAATGCGCAGCCTGAATCCTACCGTACCGTCATTGCGACTAGCATGAAGCAAAGTCATCACTTCTTCAGACAAAACCTCCATGATGATTCGACAGCCACCCATGGCTGTGACCAGCTGTTCATTGAATTCCTCTGATATCATCACATTGGACGAATTGAGTCGATGCCATTCCTTCAGACTCGTGAGCGCTGTCCGGATACAGCTCAGCTCCTGGATCAGCGAGTGTATTGTAAAGTCAGCATCACTGAACTTCCCGTGCAGTTCATAGAGGCCATGGATGGTCGAAGTAAGTGCGCCTAGAATCTGAACGATTGCCGAAGCAAACCCGACCGCAGATACCGGGTCCATGGCGGACTTGAAACATGAAGGACAGACATTGCGGGGGGCTGAGAGTGGCTGAGATGATTAGCGTCAGATCACATGGGGGGTAATAACTCCGCATCGAGGAGGCAGACGGTAAGTCGCAGCAAAATGGTCGAATTAAGGTTATCAACTGTCCTTGGTAACTACCGCAGTACAGTATAACGTTATATCTATTTATACCTCTTGATATACACCTCGGATTAGCATTAGAGTTTATTGATATCAAGTATAGAGCTACCGTGGAGGCAATGCTGTCAAAGAGTGTTTCATACGGAATACAGAAACAAGCAACCAAAAAAAGAAAACAAAAACATACAACAGCATGTCTAAGGTGGTGGTCACCTAGCGCCCACGGTTCGGGCTTAGGCGGCTCGCTGCTCTATTCAGGGCACTCAGGGCAGATATTCACTAGCCTGAATATTCTTCAACCGAATATCCAACCGGTATAGCAAAATGTACATTTCCCACTTCTGACCGAAAAAGCTATAACTAACGTTCCTTTCTTCTCCGCTTTCATCTCTAAAGCCTCTCTTTATTACGAGCAAGATACGTACCAAGTGTGACCCAATCCTTCGATCCGGATTTCCTCCGACCGCCCCTACCTCTCACAATTCCTTCCTCCCTTGAGCGTGTTGGTCCTAGTCGGAATAAAGTATATGTTCGGTACGACAAAATGCTTTATAAACGATTAGGTGAATTGGCGGCTAGAAACCCCTCTAGGTCTGGGAAGAAAGATCATATGCCTTGGGATGCGAAACATCAGTCTAGCACTTGGAATGGATTTCATTAAATCGCACATAGCGCTGATGGTACAGATACGGTTATATATAAGCGCTGTGGGCAGATTCTCGAGCACCCTAACTTTGTGCGCGAGACGAAAGATGGAAAGAAACAGCGCCGGGGAACTCCGACAATGAGAAACCACCTTACAACTACGGGCTGTATAAAGTCTTCTCAAGGCCAAAGGTCTGATATCACTCAGTTCTACAGAAAGGGGTACGTTTTTTATCTACTATACTTCTAAGGATTTAATGCTAATTAATTGTAGAATACTCCAAGTATCGAACAATTCAACCAAGATATATGGGAAGCGAGGCTTCTAATATTCTCACGGTCACACGTCTTCCATTTCGGCTTATTGAGCACCCTGAATTCATCGCTCAATCCAAATGGCCCAATCCGCACCAATAAGTCCTACTATCCCTTCCGCGAAGACGATACGGCGTCGACTATAAAGCTCCGTGTAAGAGCAACAAGAAAGTATTCTTCGGATGCTTCCAAAAACTAGAAAGATCTCATTCTCTTAACTGCTGGACCTCTCCTTTTGCGCAGGCATTTATAGCTATCACTAGCTACTTTATCGACGAGAGCTGGCAGTACCGTGAGGTTCTCCTCGGCTTTGAACTAGTTTATGGAACACATTTTGGTGCAAACCTAACTATAGTGCTCCTAGATGTTCTTCTATAACATAAAATAGAAGATCGGATCTTTGTAATTATAACCGACAATGTATCAAATAACTAGACATTGGTTAACACGCAATATCAGATGATACGACTATTATCCGAGACCCTTACCTTGCATATGTTATTCAGCTTAGCTTAAACGAGCTTCTTGGGTATATTAAGGCTTCCCTAGTGAATGAAACAACGGAGACACGATGGACGGAGACACGATGGACGGAGACACGATGGACGGAGACACGATGGACGGAGACACGGTGGACGGAGACACGGTGGACAGAGCAGCGCTCACAATCAGCGCGTGCGAATGCAATAAATCAAGATATCGCTAATACTTTACCTTAGGTACGTATCCTACCGCTTCTAGATTATACTAATTGACTCTAGATTCGCAACCTTGCTATTTACGTGAATGCAAGCCCCTAGCGGCGAGAAACATTCTATACCTTATAGGTAGAAACAGTGAAGCTTATGCTACTCTTAGATGTGAAGACGCGTTGGAATTCAACTTTCCTAATGCTTCGGCGTGTAAAACGCCTACGATCTATCTTTAACCCCTTCTATCATGAGTATGAGCGGGCTGATATGTTACTTGATGACGAAGAATGGCACTAGATTGACTGACATTATGGCATAAATAAATTTAAAGCTCTTCGGTGTCTATTAGACTGCTGACCTTGATTTTATAACTCGTTACATAATTGCCTAGCTGTTCATTTGCCTGTCATCCGGTCAATTCTTTCCCGACGTAGGTGGTTCTCCGGGGCTTAATTATCATTCGTCGCATGCCAGATGAACTCTGACACATTTATTTTTGAGGGGTCGGATCGCATCATATTCTTAAATCATATGGTACGATATTTGATATAGTACCTAAAACGTGTTTACAACTAATGATAGTTATCAATGCCCTCTGAAAGCCTAGTTACTTCATACCAATTACTTTAACCATGATTCTCTAACTATTGAATATCGATAAAGCGGGAGACCAAATTTCTTACATGTTAATCCATAAGCCTGTCTATAGTCATATTCCAAATTGGCTTGACCAATAAACACTGAGAAAATCTGTTGTCGCCCTAACGCCAAGGCGTTGGCGGCCTTATACAATGAATAAGATGGGGTCTATGTAGTATCGAGATCGGCGGGGTCCATTGCCAAGATGTGGTGAGCCTGAAGGTGTGCCAATTAGAGCCACGATTCGAGAGTGCTGGTTAGAACCTTACTCCACTCCCCCGCAATACACTTTCAATTCTAAGTCCAGCCTTATGCCCAGAACTCTTGGCCACTATATCAATGGGTCTAATGTACAGAATAAGGCGTCCGAGTTACTGCAAGGCGTCCGACTTCCTAGGCTTGCCAAGATGATCTTCATTCTCTTCCTAAACAGGAACAATAAAACTAGACAGCAATACTGACTTCTGGTGCAGCACTGAAGGTATAAATATCTGTCGATATGTTCCTCAGAATCTCAATTTCTCTCATCATCAATCCTCTCTAACATATCATCTTTCTATCAGATTCTTTATACTACAGTTTTCTAGTATGACATTCCTCCTCTTCAAAACACCTTCGCTAACTCTCCCAGTCTATCAAAATGAAGTATATGTTCTTGATCGCCTCTTTCCTCGGCCTAGCCATGGCCGCTGGTAACTGTCCTGACTTCCCTTCCTGCCATTGTCCCGGGGACCTCTGCAGAATCGGTAGTGGAACCCCCGGCGACGGCGTTTGCTGCGAAGGCAAGAAGTGCGTCCGGAAATCCGGAAGCGAGAACTGGGTATGTCTTTTGTCTCCCCTATGATTTATTTAGCAATGACACTAATATTCTTGGTATCAGTACTGCAAGTAATAAGCTTTGCCGAGTTACTAGATAGTGTCATGAATCGGCTGTAGGGGGTGGGTTTGGTTGGCACTACACTTTTGGATTCCGAGATCTAGAGTCGTTCCAATAGCAAAATCAATATTCCCATCCTGATCTTTTTCTAAGTTTTCTAGCAACGTTCATCTATATGCTCTGAATAAAAAGTCTCAGCCTGCGGCTGTATCTACGCCTTTGGTAGCCCTATGTATCGACTGTTCGGTCGGACCGTGCGGAGTTATCTAATGCTTCGAAGATATTGTAGCGTCGATTAGGCGTAGTTGGGTTAGAGTATCTTTTTATAGCATTTTCGGAGTTCTTTCTAAGGTGAGCCGGAGTACGGTTGTTAGTCACTTCATTTGGTCGATATTAAGCAAAGAGCGCTTAGAGGATGAATATTTAGTGTCGAGCTCCCTTATTTCATCCGCATGGCGTCGCGTCGGCGCATTTTAGCAAGCTAGGTTTCCGCTCTCGCGTACTTCTCCTATATGACTCTAAGCTTGTTCTAAACAGTTTCAAGGACTTAGTGCTAGATCAACTTGCTTAGGAGAGGTGTGGCTGAACAGCCTCCTAAGATTGAGCTGGCTCATACCCTGTTTGACGGGTATTTGCTTCGGCTTGATTGTGTAGTTGTTGTTTGGTTTCGAGCTTGCGATTGGCCTCTGCTAGTTGCAGATTGGCTGTTAAAGAGGGTTTTGAGCATTACGACTGGTCTTGTTTCGCGGTTGACCTTATGATTCAAATTCTCTAAGCTTAACGACAACTTTGTAGCTGTTACGTGTATACAGCCACACACGGGCACGCACGGCAACCTGTGAAGCCAAATCGTACTTGATAAAACTAAACCGGAGGCAGTTTCCGCCATAGTGGTCCGATATGGTCGTATGTACTGTACTACTTCAGAGAAGGGATATATACATTATTGTGGTATACTGAGAAAAGGGTGGACGTCGCCTTAGGCTCGCGCGAGCTAGGTGAGAAAGGTGAGTGCGCAGTACTGGATAGGGTGAGAACTCGGGTGAGAATCACTCTTCGTCGCGCGACTGTCGCACAGACGCTTTCAGCTGAGCAGGGGTAGAATGTTATTGGGCCATATATCTCTCCTTGTAGGTAGTTTCACTATCGCCTTGGTGGTGGGGCTTGAGATAATTTCTCTGTGTAAACATGGAAGCCAATTTAGAATATTGCTGCTGTATAGATAGTTCCCCACTGCGGAGCATGTCGTGTATAAGCCCATGGTTTGAAGGGGCTAGGTTAGACGCCATCTTGGTGTGACCACTACTGATTGTTAAGAATTACCCGTACCAAGGAACGAAGGCTTCCAAAGTGGGCTATAGAGGTGCCAGTTGTATAAAATTACAGGATAATACACTCCGCTATATATCCAGATTACTCTACGTAAGAAACAAGACAGGGCCCACTGACAGGATGGATCATCATGACGAAAATGCCAGGAAAGCCCTTGAAGGAAATATGGCGCTCTCTATCATTTGCCTGCTATTACCCTGCATTCTTGAAATGGCCACCACGACGTCTAAAACCCGACCTAGGACGATACAAACATGAACCGAATGGAGAACCCTCCGATCTTTACTGGGAGCACCTATGGGAACATGAGGTCACTCTCCTCCGTGATGTGTTCATTGAAAGGATGAAAAGACTAGAAACGGGATGGCTGGATGTTTTCAATAAGAGCCAGCGTCAAAGAGACTTCGATATTGCAGTGCAAACTTGCGATAATGACTGTTGCTCGGCATGTACGCGCATGGATCGATGACCTCACTGCTGGGGTAGACAGCCCTCGGAGCCTGCGCGAGAGGATTGATGAGGATTAAGCATCTCTTAGTTTCTCATCATCACTGCACATGATACATACGACCACAAGTGGGCGGGAAATCGTCCCGTTATATCTCGTTGCAACCTCCAGCGAAGAGGATCTGATTAGTGTCAAGGCGGAGGGTCTGGTAACATTCATGTTAATGGATCACGCGAGTTACAGCCCATTGCATCTCACTATCTTCCAATCACTCTGATTCAGCGACTCAATTAGTGCTTCTGTGCTGGCTCTCAATCTCTTCCAATCTAGTAGCAATCCTTGCTTCTCTTTGAAGCAGCTCTCGGTATTCTTCTCCTTTCCTTCCCGCCATGGACTCGGGCCTACTATCAAGGGCTTCTGCTTGAGCGGCCAAAGCCCGTTTGCGCAAGTTGATAAGCCCAAGCTCCTGCACTGCGATGTCTGCCTCCTCAGCTAGCTCATTTGTACTCAAGTTTACTGAAGTCGACGTTACAGTCTCTGTTTGGAAGACTGGCGATGAGACAATTATGGGAGCAGGGCTTAGTACAGGCGAAGGACCATCCTTTCGGTCTTCAGTGGCACTGATCGTGTCCAATTCTGCTGCGCTCAAGTCTCCTCGAGCGTGGCTCTTTGCCGTGCTGACCTCGAGAATCTCCGTAGATAATATCTCCTTTGGATTTGCTGCGGCGCTGGAGTTCCCACTGATCTCATGTGGTTGGGGAGTGGTCCCTTCGCCCTCCAGTTCCCGGAAGTGCTTCTGCCCCTTTTGTAGCTGCTCTGGGTTGGATGGATTGTTCTTTGCTTTTTCTCGTCGCCACCAGAAGAACAACGCTGCAGCCATCAACAGCAGCCCAACGCCGACGCCGACACCAACTCCCACACCAATCCGGGTCTTTGAGTCAAAACCACTCGAGTCTCCATTCGAGTTTCCACTTGAGCTCTCCGAACTTGCACTATTGGTGCTAGTACTCGCGCTGGTACTCGTCAAAAGGCGCGTGAGGCTAGCCTCCTTCACGGTCGCAAAGTCAAGCCCTGATATCGTGGGCAAGGAAGCCGAGGGATCCAAAGTCCAGAGACTAGTGCTGGAGGTAGGACAGGCAGGTGCAGTTGTGACACGAACTGTACGTGAGCTTGTGGTAACGGAAGCCCACTGTTCTTGAAGGTTGGTATAGTCGGCCAGCAGCGTCGGGGTGACCGCCGCCGACGAAGACCCAGTCACGTTCGGGTATGACACCAGTCCTCGTCCAGGGCTCAATACTCTGCGCAGGTATGTCAGCTTGCGCACTGGTGCACTGACAGGTTGAGAAGAAAGAAAAAGCATCTTACTCTTCTCGCCATCCATATATGATGGCACCGCTCCAGTAAGTGGACTCTACCGACCCAAAGACGGCGGACTGGTCACCGAAGCTTCGCGGTGTTGTTGAGCTGCAGCCATCTTCTGAAAGGAAGGTCGGTATTCCCAGAGCTGTTGACTGCTTAACGTAATCGTCGTAACCGGAGCTTTCGATGGACGAGCTTCCGCACCAAGTATACAGATCCAGTCCGAGGAAATCGATGGCATCGCTGCTATTTCCGCATGCAAGGTACTCTCCCAGCTTGAGCCAATTCGTTGAGGTGAGCATCGTCGTGTAGTACCCGATGGGTAGGTTTAGATATCCTCTGGCGTTTGCGTATGCCTTCATGTCTCTCACTGCAGCCTTCAATGATGGTGCATTGACAATCTGACTATCTAATCAGAGGTATTAGCACGACAGCAATGTCTGGAAGAAGGTCATCGCACCAGCAGCAATGTTCTGGTTGCTCACAATCAGCCCCAGGGTGTTCTCGTACCCTGCGAGTGCATCAAGGACAGCCGAGTATTGTGTAAAGTAGTACATATCCCAGGTATTGTTGCCCTATCACAGGATTTAGCATGCGGCCTCAAGACCCTTGGAATGCTTTGCGATCAGTTACCATGGCCCAGGTACCCTCCAAATTAGCGATAACATAGATGCCATGGTCGTAAAAGATCTGCATGCACTTGTCGTGGTTCTTGGTCGCATCGATCGCATACACACTAATTACATTTGCCCCTAGCTCCTTCATTAAAGCGGCATCGATTGCACATTGTTCCTCATCGGCCAGGAGATCAGTATAACCAGCGGTGTTCGTGTCCCAGATATAGGCGACACCTCAAATTTGATCTGTCAGCTCAACCCGGGTCCAATGTTTTGAAGATGGTATTCACCTTTGATTTGGAATCGCGAATTCTCCCCCGTAGTCCCGTTTGAAAGACTAAAGCCATTTCCTAAAGGCGTGATACGCCGAACACCTTGGGATGCCATGTCTCAACGACAAAAAAATAATATAAGAGAGCGGAAATGGGGAAAATGGGGCGGCTGGCCGGACCCAGTCCTGGTCCGGCTCACTCATGGTCTAACTAGTTATGCATCACTCCATTATTGTCACGTAAGCCGGCCCTTATCAGTCAGGCGATGGGTGAGATGAGCCCCTATCATCAATATAGTGTACAGTGTACATACAGTGTACTGTATATTTGGCCCCCACGACGCAGCCCCCTCTGCGGGTGAACGATCCAGATGCCCTTGATGAATAATAATAATGTATTAGGAGAATTAATGAGCTTTGATTGGCTCGCGACACAGCTCGATCTCGAGAAGCTTTCTGAGTAGATCAACCCATTACATGTATATGGTTGGTATAGCCAGATTACGTACTAGGTGTATGGGCTTCCAGTTCTAGTGCTTCCAGTTCTAGTGCTTCCAGTTCTAGTTATGTGCAGATGCCAAGATGCCGAGTGTTTCAAAGGAAAAGACACGATCTAATGATATTCTACCTTAGTTTACTGTAGCTGAAGGGGTCAATGTAGTGGTCGCGCGACTTAGGTGATTCTCACCTACCACCCTGTCTATAGCGCACTCACCCCTCTTACCCTCTGTCGCGCGACGATAAAGCGGCTCTTATCCTAAACTCACCCGGGCGACACCCACCGAGCTATTGACCGCATATAAGCCACACGCCGGTGAGTTAGTAGTGTGGTGGGTGACCACTAGCGAATTTATATTTAATAAGATGTTAGATTCTCCTAGGCGGCGCCCTTCTTTTTTTCCCCCTTTCTTCTTACTGTCTTTTGAGTACTAGGAGGACTGTGTTAACCGGTAGAAGCTAGTAGCAAAGAGTTGTGATTTAAACAACACACCTGCGAGAAAAAATCAGTATAGGGGGAAGGACACGTCAGCGGTTTAGGGGCGTGCAGGATATTCCGGTGTTGAATAGTGGTGTTCAGGGTATTCAGGTGAGTGAATGGGCTAAATGGGCTGAAGAGTAGGGCGGCAAGAGGGAGTTTCCGAACGAACCAAAAATAAAGAGAAAGGAAAAACATACAACAGTATGTCTAAGGTGGTGGTCACCTAGCGCCCACGGTTCGGGCATGGGCGGCTCGCCGCTCTAATTCAGCCCTCCTCAGGGCACTCCGGGCAGATATTCACCCACCTGAATATTCTTCACCCGAATATTCAGCCCGTGCAGCAAAAGGTACATTTTCCCATTCTGATCGAAAAAGTTGTAAGTGACCTTCGTTTTTCCTCCGCTTTCATCTCTCCAGCCTCGATTTCATCTCTCCAGCCTCGCTTTATCACTCCAACCTCGCTTTGTCACGAGCAAGATGCGTACCAAGCATGACCCAACGTTGAAATATATGGCTAATGTTGTGGATTTCGGGGAGCATAGTAACAATGAAATCCAGCGTGCAGTGCTGCCACGAACAGAATCTGGTTACAGGGACAAGTTACTAATTTTCGACAAGTGAGTCTCAGCCCTAGGAGCAGAGAAACAAATCGCTTAATTGTGTCTATATCCCTAGATTTGTCAAACTACATCCACAGGCCGTCATTCCACCGGACATCAGAACATGCAGGGCTTTTCTCGAGTGGGTTGCAAGAGCAATGCACGGTCGGATCGAAGAACGGCCTACAGTCGAGACGATTCAGGGATTTTTCAGGCAATTCGCCACAGGCATGAAGAGAGAAAGAAACTTCGAATTCCCACCAGCCACTAGGACTACGATCAATGAGGTCTGTACCAGCGTTCTTTTCAAATAGATCAGGGCTAATACTAGATAGTATATCGTGGGAGAACTAAAGATCATGATCCCTCTCTCAACCGAGGAAATGAATAAAGATGGCGGTGTATCCCCAAATGATTTGACCATCTTGATGACTCAATTATGGTGTCGAGACCACCATGAGTATCGTGGAAACCCTGCCGATCGGGCCCGAGTTCAGCTGAGTGCCGCAATACTCCTATATTGCTTTACCTCTGCACGTACAGGGGAGGTTCACGAATCAACCGCTCGGAGACATGGAGCCCAGAAGATCGGGGAGGACAGCGAGGATGCTGAATTGGAAGCCCGCGTGATGGCTGCCTGTTATAAGGTGTGTTTGGAAAAGGAAAATTAAGCAGTGCTTGAAGCTGACTGCATCAGCATTTCGAACTCACCATCGAGACTGTGGATGGTATGATAATGCTTGTACTCACCTATAAGCGCGAATTTGTTAAAGGATATTGGCGAAAGAAAAAATGGGCGATTCCCAAGCACGCATTTTATGAAGTATATGCTGAGGATGTGCCTATATTTCTAAACCTTTTGACATTCTTTTTACCAATGGCCACCGCAGACAAGGCTTTCACAGATTACGGTTCAGTGAGCGAAATCCTAGATGCTGTCGAAATGTATGAGCAAGTCGGTCCTTTGGAGGATAAGATCCTTGAGGTGATTCATGTGCGGCAAGTGATGAGAGATCTGCCGGTTTTTCGTCAATATCTTGAGCATGATGTGGACAATTTCAAAGGCCACGCTAGGGGAGCGGATTCCTTCGGAAAGGCCTTGGTCAATCTAGGTCACAGAAGTGGCTATACGCTGAATATTACTGTACGGGCGTGTCGAAGATGGGCTTTACAGCAAGCAGGTACGGATTCATTTCAAGCATAGGCTCACGAGCTAGCTGATGATAAAATAGATAAGACGTATTCCGAGTCTGCAAGAATGAAGTTCGCTGGGCAAACCAACCGGGACACATACGGAAAATCATACGCGCATCCTCTTAGTGAGGTTGATGGACCGGCAAACTACCTCGGAATTGCCAGCAGACAAGAGCATATCCAGAATCGTCGGGGAATGGGTCTTTACCGCAATTCCTCTTTATCGCAGCTCCTTCCTGCGAAAGCTGAGTATGAATTTCTTGCCCGAGAGGATGTTTATGCTCTTGACCAAATCATGGCAAAGTTGAGTTTGCTACTCCCAAACGCCACGCCGGAAGAAAAACACAAAATTCAACTAAAACAGAAGAGGGTGTATAATGAGAAACGGAGCCTTTATAATGAAGAGCTCCGAAAGGCCCAAGCGCAATCAGGGAGAGAACATGGAAGTATTTACACTGAAACCATGTTCCACTACAGGAGAAAGGTAATGCCTCATAGAGACTTCTTGGCTAGCACATTGCCTTGTAAGCTCAGCCTCCGGAGTTTAGATGGAAGAAGAACCCTGCAGGCGTTGGAGTCTCTCTGTAGCGAGACAGACACGATTTCATACCGCGATAGCCTCAGCCCTCTAGGCCATGCCTGTCTCTGTGGAAGGTCCATCGAAGAGTATGTCGTGCCTTTAATGGGAACATATGACTTTGCTATTACTAACTTGAAATAGATTCAAGGATCACCGAAAATGGTTACATCTCTACCGTTGCTACTCAAGGCATTACAAATCCACCCACGGATTTGCACAAATATGCTTTGAATGCGACCTATGGTTTACCAATGAATCAGAGTGGGAGAATCATTGCCAGGAGCATCTTGATAATCCAGGCGATTTGCTCCGTTGCGATCCTATGATCTTTCGGAACGCACCTATAAAGCCAGGGCTATGTCCGTTTTGCCTGGGTGCCAAGAGAGAGAAACCGTCAAAGAGAATGTTTCAATTCGTCCTCTCACCACCAAAGTGGCACTCCCATATTGAAGATCATTTGAAAGAACTCAAACATGATTTCGACTGCAAGCATCCAGCCTGCTCCACAACCTTTAAAAGCCTAGAGGAGCTTACCTACCATCTCGTTGACACGCATTGTTGGCGCCCTAGGCGGCAATCCCCCAAGAAACGAAAGTGGGCAGATGTTAAATTTGAGGCACAGACATAATTAATGCCCAGAGTGGACGCATGGAAATGCACCCCAAGCCGCATCAGTTAGGGGCAACAAAGAGGTGGTCCAAATGCTACTGAATTATGGTGCCTAGTGTAGATGCAATAACAATGCAGCAAATATTAGCAGAGTCATGTTAGAATTCAATTTTCAGAATGTAATAGATACATAAGTCTCCTAACGCCAAATTTGCCCGCTAGCTAACTTTTCGGCTGCGCTTCTTTGTGTACGATAGTCTATGTAGCATAAAATGCGTCATTGATATTCCGCCTTCAAGCTGCCAAATGATGTGGTGTAACTTTGCCTCCAAGTACTGTACGGGTCATTTTTGGCAAATATCATTCATGGAAATATTCCTCATTAGGGTTCGGGAGACGATCGAATAGTGTAGGCGGTGACACCGATTTCCGGAAGGACTGTATAAATCTCAGCCCAATCCAGAATCCGGGAAACAAATCAGGACAACCCATAACCCACGCGATCCTCCAGGCGGCTGCAGAGGCTCAAGCGCAAGGAATCACGCTCTGTCTCCAATGGATACCTAGCTACTGCGACAAACCCGGGAACGACGCAGCAGACCGGCTAGCCAAGGTCGCGGCAAGCCCCTGCAAATCGCACTCTTTCCGCTCTCTGCTAACAAGGGAGAAAGCCTTCATCCGCGACAACATCCGCGCTCAATCGGAACGTGAATAGAACTCATCCACCAAAGGAGACCACCTGCGAAGAATCGGCAGCGCTTTACCATCCAACTACACCAGGAAGCTGTATGTCAAGGATATAGATGAAGCATGCGGAACGGATGGAGATATGATCCGCACCGGATCCACATGGTGTACATGGGTTCCCCTGAACGCGAGGAACCTACCTTTCTTTTGCTTCCTCGCGCTACGTCTTGTATCTAGAGTCAACTGTAGTTGTTCCTAATATTGATTGTTCATCTGAAACACTATCCACCTCTATGTATACGTGAGATCCTCACACTGTACCGAAGTCTGCCCAGGAACTGAGCGTACTTGCTTACACAGCTGCGCACGGGCCACAATTGGTTGTCTACATATGCCAAGGCCCACCGATTTCGCGACGACGGTCACTGCACGTGCGGCGCTCCAGAAACAGTTATCCATGTGCTAGTGGACTTTCCAAGATTGACAAATTTGCGCAGGGAGCTAAGGAGAGAAGTTGGGCACGCGTTCAACTTCATTTCGAGTCTGCTGGGAGGCTCAACCGAAGGTAGGAAAGTTAAATCTGACACCGTCTTGGGCTTCGCAGTGGCGTCACGGTGATTCTAAAGTCGCGCACCATGAGGACAGCCTAACAATGGGCGTGGCAATTAGGCCACGACAGGCCTTGACGAGGCTCTAAGTTCGTTTCAGGAAGTGGGTCACTCTACATATACATACAGAGATATAACTTATATAGTTGCTGTAGCCTGCATATTGCTTTGCAAGTTGATTTCCCAACTAGACTAAAATACGAATCCGTACCCAGACTAGTGGGATATGGTTTATAATCCAACTTTGCATTGCGAGGCGTCAGTGTAAATCCATCCATCCATCCATCCATCCATCCATACTGTATAAATCAAATCCAATACTCTGTAGACGACATCAATTTAACACCCTGGTATGTTCACCTCCGATATCTTCCCTGTTCTTCGACACATCATATCGAAATACCTTCGATTTGAGTGTCGTGATCACCATTCTCTGCAAAATTAAAATTTCCCAGGAGCTGAAGCTTGACTAGAGCCTCCAATGCCGGCTGACTGGAACTGAAGATCGACAATGTTCACTAATCCTGTCATTTGATGGGCTACTAGCCCATAGAGCTCTGCGACGATACTTTCTTCTGCACAGACTGAAGTGGAAGACGATATATCAATTTCAAAGCCAATAGAGTGGGGCTTTCTACACTAACCGGCAATTAATCCTTTTCTTCCGTCCCCAAAAAAGTCATTTGGTATAGCATCCTTGGCATTCACAGCAGAATAGAACCTGAAAATTCTCCCGTGCTTGCTATTCCACGTTTCGTGAGTGTCCTGAGCAGGTCGGGCGGATGGTATATGTAGCGCGAAATGAAGGTTCTAGTGTTGTTAGCACAGAACAATTTCAAATTATCATGGTTTCCACATACATAAGCCCCATTATCCTTCCGAAGGAGCTCATCCATCCAGTCATATATCCAGTCGAAATTTGCTTTTCTTTCGTCAGAATGTGAAAAGAGAGGTCAAATGTCGGGAGATAACTTACACTCATGATCAACCTCCCACACGATGAATATATCGCAATGTGAGTGGTTATTAATATTACTCTCAACTGAGAGTCTAATATAGGATAGCAATGGAGCAATTCCAATGCCAGTGCCAATAAAAAGAACGCGGCTATACCCTGCGAGTCCCTCTGGGCGACCATACGGTCCATCCAACCACGTCAAGAACTCGCTTCTCGGATGACCTATTAGTCTTTGCGTGAAGCCCCGTTCCCTACGTGCCAGCAGCGTGATGCTTGTGGCATTTCCATTTACATCGTTCTCCCACCAGGATATGGGAAAGGAATATGTCTGGAGAGCAGCACGCAAGCTGACACCAGGCATCCAAATGTAAACGCTCATTCCAGGTTGAATCCGGAATGGTCGGTTGATGGGGATCACGACTCGAACAGCATCAGCATGTTTCATCCGAATGATGACTGCACGAGATGCGACTTTTGCGTACTTGATATTCCGAATGAGAAGCAATACCCATCGAAGTGAAAAGAGGAGAGAAATAGTGACGCTAGGAACCAGGACTCCTAATTGTGGGAAGTTCCTAGAATTTAGTAGGTGGCACAAAACAGTTATGCCAACTAGAACGGCAGCAATTCCGTGAACTTTAGATAGTATCTCTATTGCAAACCTCCGAAGGAGATGGGTAATCATGGCAAGGGCAATGCCAGAAAATGCCTTTGTAGTGAATGTGTCAGTACGATTTAGAAAGAGTAATTAAATCTTCTTACCAGCAGCCCATAAAGTTGCAGATTCCGCTTTAGGTGCCACCCGGCTTGGTGTATTGCAACGGACATGTGAAGAACGCCTTGCAGAGTGGACATTATGCCTAAAGTCCCATGTATACCCTTGAATGTTTGAATTGAAAGTCCAAAGATCTCGGCGAGGAAATTCAATCGATCACTCATAAGAAGGGGGAACAAGTTTATAATGGCCATATACCCTGACCGAATTCTGATGTCAGTCAGGCTATGCGTTTGTATAAACGTGCTGACTAGATTGCTAGCCCAATAAATCAACTGTAAGAGTAGCCAGGCTCTCGATCTTCTTCTCACAATGGGCGGATAGACGAGATACTTCAAGATGATCACTGTTGCCCGTTGTGCAGGAGCGGCTAGCGAAGTTCGGACAAAGTTGAAAGCGCGACTTGTATTAGTCCACAGAAAGAACAAGAGCAATAACCCCCCAATTATGGTGAGATATAGAGTGGAGGGATCAGTTATCCTCATTCTGTGAGTGGAAATGCCTGACGGTGTGGATAATGTTCTGTTTGATTGCAGAAATTAGTATTGGGGTCCTTATAGACGCAAGAGCGTGTAAATTTGGCGGACCATCAACTAAAAATAACCACGCATGTACATACACCCGTGGGCGATACGACAACAAGACAGAAAGTTATTTTTAGATGACCCAAAGTATATAGTGTACAAATCGCCACTGGAGACTTTTGATTTCATCAGGTCTACTCTACACAATGCCGCAATCTGTGGATCGCTCCGGTGAAAGCCGCCGCCGAAAAACATGCTTCAGAAAGATTCGTCAGCTCTGCGCTCTGTGTCGAATGAGAGCAATGGTGGTGTTGGTTGATAAATCCGATCGACATTGGATATTCAAAACGCATGATGATATTCCAGATTTAGAACAAGTAGGATCTATATTCTTCATCCCTTCGTCCATCAATTAACCTTCACAGCAGGCTATACAGCATCCCCAGACTCACACCTATGATGATTTTGAGCCTTTGCCTCCTTCCAGCCAGCGGACTCCAGCTGCGCAGCCACCTCAACGCCAGATTACCATCTTAGCCCCACCAAGCTTTCGGCGTGACTGATGTGGGGCTACCGTGGGCGAGCCGCTGAAAGACTGTCTTGTGGGCTGGTATTGATCCTAGGCGCTATTGTATAAAGGATGCTTGTTTTTCTCTACCATTCTATTCCATATAATACCATTTGATCATAACCTATCACTGTCAAGTCCATAATCTTATTCGTAATGGACGTCAACCAGCCGGAAGATGGCATACCACTTAATGCACTGGATCATATCCTTCGGGATGGTGTGCATACGCTGAACACCGACTGTCTTCCAATTTACTTGGAAGCTCCAACAAACGTGAATGCACGTCACTTTGGTGATCTCCAACAAGAAATCATACGCCTTCGTCAAGAATTAGCTTGGCATCAGGAAGCAAAGGAAGCCCTCATGGGTCTTTTTGGGGATACAAGGGAGATATATCGCCTCCTTCAAAAGGCACTCATCAAAGCCAGGGTCCAGCATGGGGGAGACAAACATTTTTCAGAGCTGGCGAATGACGCACAGGATGCCAGTTTCCTTCTTCGACAATGTCTGCAACGAGCATCCCACAGACTTTCGGAGTCAGAGAGCCGTCTTCTCGAGGCCCTAGGTATCTCGTTAGATGATACAAATGGGAGAGACATCACAGTGCTATAGATGAAGCTGGCCAAAATTTCATTTTTTTAACTTCATGCTATTTAAAAACTCGTGAATCTTCCGCTCCGTTTCTCCAAGGCACCGGCCAATGCTATGGGCTTTTTTGAGGTAAATAATAAAAGCCTGGCGTAAGCGACGGTTTTCAGACAGCAAAGTTGCCTCCCTATGCTTGTACATCTCGATCTCGGTTTCCAATTTTTGAATGGTGTGCATGGAGTCTTGTAGTTGTTTTTCAAGGTTGTGGGTATCTGCTTCAAGGTCGTGGATACTTGTCCGCCCTTCGGAAGGGCAAGGCGAGTGAGCTCCGTTGCGAACTGCTTGGATGTCTCCGCATTTTAACCCATTCGATAACTCAATATACATGTTCGTCGACATATCGCTAAGCTGCCTGTCGAACAAGTGGCTGGTCGCATTGCTAAAAAGCCAAGCATAGGCATCTTTTTCCGATGGATGAAGGCGGACTTCTGACGGCCCCACGCGCAACCCGAGTCGATTATCTTTGTTTTTGATTTAGCAATGTCCTCCCCTTCCGTCTTCGCCGGGCATTCTTACTGATGTGGTTTGCGAGGTCTTCCCGACATCTCCTCCTTTCCAGAGCACGTTTCCTATTAGCTGGGTTTGACATGTCATGCAGTTGAAGGGCCTAAGTTCGGCAGTCTGCGACTATATACCGCGTATCCCATGGAGGGAATTGGGTCCCCGGGTCAATCCTTGCCGAGGGCGGCCCGCCACGGAAATAGAAATGTGCCAAATGATGAGGCTCATCACAAAGTGGGGCGGGCCATCGTGGGCGGTTCGCCCAGGCAGGCGGTGGTCGGTCACATTTATGATTAAAGTTATTTATATCACCCACTGCGAGCTCGAGATATGCTAATGTTTCAGACATAATTTGTCTTATTTTTGATGTGCTACATCCTTGTTGTGAGGGCTGCTTGCACACACTGCGAACTTGCTATTGCCGGGCTTTCAACGCTATGAATAGTACCATAGTTGAAATGTTACGAATGTTGAAAGTAGAAAAGAAACATTTGAACATTTTCCACTTCTAGAATGATGCTCCTTACCTATATTTCTCTTAAATCATCTTAAAGTTCCCTGGAAGATGCCGAATCCATTCTCAAAATATGATGCTGCTCTTCATTACTTTAGCCTACTTTCAAGTGTGTGTTCTAGCAGCTGGAAGTGCGGCCAGGCATGACATACATGCGATAATACCGAGAAGCACCCCGGTGAGCACCACCGTAATTACCGCATCAATGACAAGCACCGCGACTCGATATACTACGATTACAGTCTTGGAAAACACGTCTTCAGCCAGATATTTCCACAGTCCTCTGACACATTCGAGTACGAAGAGTCTTACTCGAACACGAACAATGCGGCCCCAGGGCGCCCCTTCATCTTCGACTGACGTTTTGTGGCATACCCCAACTACAAAGACTAGGGCAGAAGGGAGCGTCAAGGCGACCATCCACCCGACAAACCACGGGAGCCGTTTTCCCACCTCTACGCCTATTTCCACCCCTGCCACTCCCACCATACACACTCCCATATCCCCAACCGCTTCATCACCTGGATCGATTTCATCGAGTGCCACCTCAAATGGCACTGAATTGGCGCAAGTCCGGCTGCGAACAACATTGATAATAGTGCTAGGGTGTATTTTCGCCATATTTGGTTTCTTTTGAGTGACAGCTAAGGGACGTATGAGGGTAGAATGAACGGCGATTTTCGTGTAGTATGTAGTATAGTCAAATAAATAAATTGAGATGAAATTTCCTCGCCTTTGTACCCTTTCGATTATGGCAATAAGGAATGAGACTAAGGATGAACTAATTCATTTAATTAGTGGCGCTAATACGACTATAGTCGTGGGCGGTTCGCCCACGATTCCGCTAATAGCACTAAAAATAAGCGAGCATGCAATCTCCCCCTTGTGGCTACTGCTCAGAATGATTTAAGCTCTCTCTCCCCTGCATAGACATAAAGAGAGAAAAAACATCAAGTATGAGTGAAAATCGGTGTACGCTGTTCCCAAGAGGTACGGATATTGCATCCGGAACTACCCCACAAAACGACAATCATGACGATAGCAGAGAAATAGAGAGCCTCACTGACATTAATGACAATCGATGTACTGTGTTTCCGAGAAGTGCGGAGATAGGCGACAGTGAATTTGATACCAGAAACATCAGTCAGCCCCAAAACAGGGAAGTGCGGCGCCTTCAAAAACGTCATTTGCCAGCGCGATGGCTCCAGCTCCCAGTCAAGAGGACCACCAAGGCTGATGAGCCACGCCCCAAACGCCAAACGCCATTATTTTGCAAGGACCACACGCCTTGGATGAAATATCAAAAGTTCAAAGAGGGAGGGAAGCCGGGGAAAACCTGCCTAGCCTATGTCACCGACTCCCCGGGAATGGTAGTTGCAATAAAGGAGTATAAGACGAGCGGTATCGACAAGACGTGCCATCTGAAGATGATCAGTCACCCAAATGTGGTGAATCTCCTTGATGCATTCGAACAGTCTAGAATTCTGTATCTAGCATATGAGCTTATGGATCTCTCATTGGAGCAACTTCAGTCTGGCATCCAATTAAAGGAGTCTGACCTTGCCTTCATTTGCAAAGAGGTGAGCTACAAAAGCATACTAAACATTTCTCTTGCACACTGATATTCATATAGCTCTTGCATGGGCTTTGGTATATTCACCGAGATCTCGGTGTTTGCCATACAGCCCTCACTTATGACAATGTGTTCATATCATCGCAGGGTAGGGTAAAGATTGGTTAGTGAGGACAATGAAGATGAAGACTGGGACTAAATTCAAGCAGCAAATATAGCAGCCTGTCTGCTTGAACGACATCAAGGGTCTGAACAGTTCGATATCAAGTCTATTGGTATTATGATTTGCAAAGTCCTCGAGCCAGGGCTCTCTACTCATGACCTTCAGGCTTCTCATGCCAGTCTCTCCCACGGTAGCGATAGCCTACGTGCGTTCATTTCTACAACTGCGACAGAAACAATACAAGCGCTTTTGCAGGTATGGGATCGCAATAAATACGCTCCGCTCATTACAGTCACTAATTCCTTACTAGCATGTCTTCATATCATATGCAGCTGCTGATGGATGCTTGGTTGTACCTGTTATGAAGGTCCGAGGGTTGGTTCTACATGATTACGAATAATGGACAAATAATCGGAGCTAAAGCAATTGATTCGTGCAAATTAAGAACTATCAAGTAATTCAAAAATTCCGTTCTGGGCTTGAGACATGAGATTGCTACTCAAACCCATTCGATCATGCTTTGGTCCGACTAAAATAAGCTTTTCACGCATCGCTATGTCGTAGAGATTTTTAAGAAGGACCAGGTGTGGTCTCTTACGACCTATTGATATGAACATCTGCTGTTGGTGTGCCAGCAGCTGCACCTTTCTATGAAATAAATGGTCATCTTGGGGCCTGCTTGACAGCTGCGCGTACTGCCTGGTTTGCCAGGAATAGAGCAGGATATCATCCGTTTGCGTAAGTACGTCATTGATAAAGTTTGAAGGTGTCGTTGAGGGGCTAAGTGACATTAACTGATCATCCACAGCCCAGAAGTCGGATAGGGTTGATATGGAGCCGGTTTCCCAGGAATCGGCTCTTGAATGATGGGCTTGTGGCTGGCTGAGTGGATCATCGCTTTCACTCAAAGCCGGCTCAAAATCTTCAGGCAACTCATGTTCCTGATGTTCAGCTTCATGTTGAGGCTCATTGTGATGCTTTGTATTGTTTTCTTCGTTTCCCCAAGACTGCGTATCGTAGCTCTCGGACATATCGTCGTGGTAGTTATCTCCAGGGAAATCAGAGTCATCATCCGTTGCCTCGGAATGTGGATTGATTTCGCCGAAGAATGAGAGAAATATATCACGCTGTATTGCAAAGGAGGTTGCATATGACCTTGGAACCACTTCTTGTTGGTAGATATTTGTGAGAAATAAGAGCTGTCGATCGCTTAGGTACCTCTTGTAAGACGGCCGACTACAACGGAATTTCTTGGGTAGATTTTCCAGGTCCGTGGTGAGATGTGCTTCTTCCATAGGTATCCGAATAGCCGAGGCGTTGCTGATTCTATCGGACACGTTCTGAGCGACACTTATATTAGTCTCGGTATCAACATGATACCGATCCAGAGGCTGCAGCTGGTTAAGAAACTCTTCAGTGACGATTCGGTATCGGTTAGCCGCAGCTTGTCTGTGTAAGGTCAAGATCTCCTCATTCTTGAAACCCAGCTTGACAGCTAACTGGGCTAGATTGATAAGTCTTTCTGACTCAACCCCAGATGGCTTGGCCTTCCCCTTTTTGTCATCTTGATAGGGCCTGAGGCTAGTAAGGGTCGGAAAGTCACGCATGGTGGCAAGGAAAAGCTGTCGATAGCATATACCCATGCTGTCCCCATCTTCGTCACGACGTTCAAATATGTCTTCGGCAATTTGAACGTTATATGAACCAGTTTGATCTCGCGTATAACATTCCAAAAACCCCCCAAACATAGTTCCCCTATACCCTTCAGGCTGCAAGCTTTTGAGAGCGATCATACAGGCCTCGAAGTAGATGAAGTCTTTGGTGAAGGTATGGAACGATAGTATCCTCCCACTGACTTTCGTAATTCTGTCTAATATCTGGGTACGATCTTCATCAGACTCTAATTGTTTAAAGATCTTCCGTCTCCGTATTCTGTCCTGGATTATGGCCCTATCATGTAGAGATAGGCGAGGCATAAGCGTCTCCAGCTCCTTCACCGTATCAGGGTCTAGGAGCTCTGGCGAATAGCCCTCCATGATGAATGACCACTGATCGTGGATGCATTTTAAATATCGAGTAATCTCCTGGATGCTAAAGTTAGTAATATAAAATTTGTATGACTAGACAGACCTGCCTCAGGACACTTCACTGATAGCCATCGGCCAAGATAGGACAATTTAACGGCTCCCCATAAACCCAAGAAGGGCAATAAGTTATCGAAGGCCCTTTTGATTCTTTTAAAATCTTTCTCCATTCGTGCAAGTTCATGATGTACTCCTTTGCTGAATCTGCCCCTCCATCTGAGCTCTGAATCCACATCTCCAATTCCTTCGTAGTGTCGTACGTTCCGATAAATGTCACCGTCACAATATGGCTGGTCATTTGGATGTTCATCTCTGATCCCCTGTTTTATTTCTGACCTCATATCTTCTTGGTGTGAGAAATTGTGCACATCAAAGTGAGATAGAAAGTCTTACCATCACTATAAAATTCAGCCACCCACCATCGCGCAGACCTCTTGATTGCAGCCAGGACCCGGTGATTTCCATGCAAAATATTCAGCCGCACTTCATCTGGGAGGTTTAAAAAGCGCAATGGGCCGTTTAGGAAGGCCTCAGTTTCATCCTGAGCAGCCAGAGCTTGCTGAAGAACATCATTGGTTATTGAGACCTTCACATAATTCTCAGGGTTCAGGCGAGAAAGCCCCTCTGACTGAAAGACTCTGTCCAGCCGGTCCACATGCGAATCTCGAATAGTTCGAGGACCCAAATTATCTATTTGGAAATGGTGCAAGTATATCTTCGCTCTCCCTTTGTAGCAGTTCTGCCGTTCCTGGAACACATCTTCGTGAAAAAGTGACATGATAAATTTCCGACACAAAAAGATAAAAGCCGGGGAAAATAATGACACTTGAATCTTAAAGAGATTAAATTTTAAAGGTGTTTGAATAAAAAATCCCTTTAAAATTTCGTGTTCGGAATATTCAACTTTCCGGAAAATTGGAGCGCGCAAATTTTAAGAGGTGGTATAATTTAAGTGATAGTAAAATTTATGGCCCGAAATTTTCGACCGCTGAGAATATTCCATTATCCTGAATATTGTGCACCGATAATTTTCGGCTTTGGCGGTGTTAACCGGACATAGGGAATTGGCGTAATGGCTGTAAGGCGCAAAAGCGCAATGTGGACAACGTACATAAGCGTCTTCCAGGAGAGATAAATATGGAGACCACTGACTTCTATAAATTTGATATAGCCACTTTCCTTTCGTCCCCATTAATATTTAAATCACTAAGTTCAATTATCCCATATTATCTTAACTGCCTCAGCATGGGGCTTTTTTCCAAAATCGCCCGGAAATTGGGATATGTGCGCGGATACATAATAGTGGTACGCCAGACTCGTGGAGAAACACGGGTCATCCACTCCATCTGGCCACCTTGTGAAATTGTAAGAAAACCAGAATGATCCCGCTATTCGGAGCTGACTCTAAAATGTAGAGTGACAAATTCGAGCCGTTGGTCGACCTTGACGTCGAAGAGAAAGTTGAAAATAACCGGGGGTTCCACGTCTGACACGGTCCCGACCCTTTTCCTCTGGTTATATATTACAGATTTCACGATGTTTCTTGTTATTCTCCAAGTATAGTTTCCGGATATATAGTACCAAAGGCCAGGCTTTCAGCTTCATCGGTGACTCAAGACAAAGAATGCTTAGGGAACCTAGTCCTAATAGGAGAATATATGGCTATCGCAGATTATAAGCATTTCTAAGCTGTTAAAAGAGGATTTCGAGTTATATATCGTAACATATTAAACCACTAAGTGCGTTGAGCTCAAATTTGGTCTTGAACAGTATATACACGTCTATCCTGCAAATGGATAGCATTTGACGTACCCCGAAAAGCTTGCTCTACAGAAAGGGCATGCTTTTGGATCAAGTCTTTCTGCGCATGATTCACAAACCATGTGCCCGCATAGCATAATATGCCAACAATCCGGCTACCCGTAGCAGATTTTGCAGTCCAGAATGCGTCGTTGGGAAAGCTCCTCTTGATGCCAGCCTTCCTGTAGGAGAAGCTTATTCTGAAGTTCCTGGACTTGCTGTTGCAGCTTTTCAATATCTTGATTGAGCTTTTCAACCTTTTCATCGACTGTCTTACGCAGCTTCTTGAAAGAGGTATCCTGGTCCATCATTAGCTCGGGAAAACGGAGTGTGTTAGAAATGCTATACAGCAATATTCGAAATCAGCTTTACCACTACACTCTCTCGAATCCATTCCCAAACCCTGACTCGAAACACGCTAATCTAATTTTAGATCTTCCCCAGTAATCCCTGCAGGACGGTATTGTACTGGTGACGCGCGCTTCGCACGCTAATACCCTGAAACGAGCAAAAAGGAAAGGCAGGTACAAGAGGTTAAAGTCATTCGTTTGCTTGACTGGTACTTGGAAGACAAGGGAACATTGACCAATGAGAAGGTAGAAATCATCTGACTAATAACCGCTACATCTTGGAAAATAAGGGAAACTAGATATGTTAGTCAACTATCGTATTTTGACTATGCAAGTATATCGGCGTATGATGTTTTTCGTGGTCTTTGGTCTTTGAGAACGCCTCTCTGCAGGTGATGTGGTAGCCTGTGGCGAGATTTTCGCTTCGTTGGCAGTATCTGGCCACGTAATTTGCGTGGCCTCCTCATCGTGACCACTAGGTGCAATTATTTTAGGAGATTCCTGGAACCGGTGTGGGATAGGAAGGGAATACACGTTTTTGAACTAACTAAGAACTGTCACGCTCAGAATCAATGTGTAAGAGGTTCTTCTTGGTAGTAAGTCTGTCTAAGAACTCTAATTCTAATGAGTAATGTATACTGGGGCACTTTCTATTGTATTCTATACTTATCCACCACCAGATCGCTCCTGCTCCGACGCAAGGAACCCTAACCAACTATCCGTCTGCAATAGCAAACCTAAACCCTGTCCGCCCTTTAAATATCACGAAAAATGTTGCATATTAAAGGCGTCTCGTAGGTCCCAGATTCTACCTATGCGTGGTACCGACGATAAACCTCCCTGCTCCCCGGCGTATCCCACAAGTATCCACCGTCTAGAAGAGGGATTCTAAGGTCGGAGATGCTTAGCATCCCTGTGTTATAGAGAAGGTTCGCTTTGAACAGAGCTAGCGCTAGTCGATTAGTCTCTTCTACCTATGTCCACGAGAATAGTAGCGATTTATTTGGCGTCAGCTGTGCACGGATGCGGCCGTAGCAGAATAAGCCACCGGCGATACAAGTTGTCGTTAGTGCGCGGACTATCGATGAGCAACGGTTCTGCAGATCTGGAGGGGCCTCTCTCATCGGTGCGAATATCACGTTCAGAAGGACGGCTTGGAATGTCGACATCGGCCATGATGTATCCTTGAAGTCTTTCTGCGACTTCCAGTCTCCCTGCGCATGTGAGAATAGTTACGAAGGCCGATGGACCGAGAAAGATTCAGGGAGCTCACCATGCGACTCTCTAACAATGTCACTAATTTCTCATGCATATTCTTCGCTCTTGTCCGCGCAGCCCTCCCGCCAGTAACCCATAGCCCGATCATAGCAAAGCTTAAGATCAGAACATGTGGTTGCGAGTCTTTACTTAGGTGGAAGGAGGGCTTGTGAATGATCGGCCATTGAGAA